GGGCCGGCGGGCGGTGCGGGGCGGCGGGCGGCTCAGTCCATGGGCCGGGCGGGGGGCCGGGGCGCGTCGCGGCGGCGCAGGGAGGCGGCGGGCACAGGGCAAACACTAAAGAGAATGAGCGGGGCCAGCTCCAGCCGGGGAGGAAGTGACGCCACCGCGCTGCCGCCTGGGGGCGGGGACARGGGGCGGGGGCAGGGGGCGTGCCTACAGCCAATCGTTAGCGGGCGAGCCCCCGTGGGCCACGCCCCGTGCGGCGCTCCCAGCCAATAGGCGCGGGGAATGCCTCGGAGCTCCGCCTCTTCGGCGAGGACTACAGCTCCCGGCGTGCCCCGCGGCGGCTGGGGAGACTACAGATCCCGGCGTGCCCCGCCGGCCTCGGCGCCGGCCAAGATGGAGGCGCCTGAGGGAGGGAGCGGGGCCGGGGCTCCGTGCCTGAGTTCTTAGTTCTCGGGGCTTCAGTTCTTAGGCACAGCTTTAACCCGTCCTAACGGTCACTGAGCCCTTCGCAGCTCTGTCCCCAGTGCTGCCGATAATCCACTGTGGCGAACTGAAACCTGGCTGCTTCGGGATTGTTCCCTCCTCTCTCTCAACATCACTACTTGGGTAGTTTCAGTTACAAGGAAGACCGAAATGCATTTGTTTTGCATTAGGAAAGCAAAAAATCCAACATGCTGCTGTTGAAGCCTGGATTTTCTGCTCATTTCAGATTTGCCATGTAAATAGAGCCATTAAATGCTATGTTACTTCAGGTACCATCCATTGCTGTTTAGTGAAAGGAGGAGAACTCCTTCAGCACCGGGCTCAYCAGCCAACCTCAGGCCCTTGGGTTCCCCTTCCTGAGTCAATCAAAATGCCCTACAAGATTTAAACATGTTATTATCAAGCTTTAATATTTTAACAACATTTTCATAACCTATGTGATTCTTAAATTAGCATGTTTTCTCTTTTTACAACAAGACTGTACTATGAAAAAGGCCAGCAAAAATGCAGTACAGTATCAAATAGTCTCCAGTTGTGTTAAAAGAAGGCAGTCCACTCTGTCAGAAAAAGATACTGTAGGACCTTTTTGCTTTAGAAATAATTTATCTTTCTTAATAAGTAAAAATACATTTTAACTTACAAGGTTGCATTTAAAGCCCATGGCATCATGAAACTACAGATCAGGAATTTCTGTTTCTGTTCAGTGAATAAAATATGGCATCCAGCCCATCTTATCTATTAACCAAAGATACGTAGCTTAAATCTATCGTAAATAGAAAAACCACCATACGTAGTGGGGAACATAAGAGGTACAAACCGTTTAGCAATAACAAAATTAGAAATAACAAACATTATACCTAAAGTTCCATATCCATTTCTGTCTTTAATGCTAGTATGGATACCAAAGACACCATAAAGAAAATACATCGTACACTTAAAATAATTGACAATATAGCATTTAAGAGACATTCTCCAGTATAAAGCACATAGATATAACTCATATCACATTTAAACACCTATTCATATGTTCTTGTGGTCTGTTGCATAATACGTACTGTTAGATGCTTTATTATGCCAAGTGAGCAACAGATATATTTCAGAAAGAAATGAAATTTCAACTGTTGTGTCATCATTACTGCAAGACTTAACATGGTCTATAAAAGAAACAACATTTGTGCATTTTGTAGATTGTTAGGTKGACATAAAGAGATACAAATCCACATTTTCTTTCAGATTGAAATATAYTGAACTTTGTTTGTTTGTTTCCAAAAACTGTAATCATCTGGATATGTATAAAACCCTTATAATTGGGCCAAAAAGGTATTCGCAGCCAGATTATAAAGCTCAACAAAACTTAAAGCAAATCCATATGTAAATCAAAAGTCTGAAGAACACTTGGCAGAACATCTCAAATATCCAAGACATTTGTCCTGTATTTTGAAGGAGAAGATCTTTACCCCTCTAGTGTGCATATAATTTTTACTTTTTAAAAATGTTACAAAAGACTTTTCATACTTCTTTATGCAGCAGCTTAAGCAGAGTTTTAGACAGGGATAGGGAGACACAGAGAGAAAGAGATCTAGTTCTACCTAGTAATCTGCAAAATATTTGACAGTTTCATTTTCTTATATGAAAAATTTAAGGAAACAATATCTTAACTACAATCTTTTCAGATGTTCATGTAGAAATCTGATTACTTGTAAAGAATATTTTTAAATATTTCAAAATATCCCTTATATCAGGCACAAAACCTTTTTCTTTTTTTAACCAGGAAGCTAAAAATATGAACTAGCTTTGTTCAAACTCCTTTTATTCTGCTTTTCTGACATGTTACTCTTTTGTAACAAAATATCATCTCTATCGCCTTCTATTTTTAGAAACTATTATTTAATAAAGTATTTACTTCTACATTATATGATCTCATATTGAATAGTCTAGCACCAGCTCTGACCTCATATGAATTAGAAGATCATCATTTTGAGGAAAAAAAATTAGACCTTTAATCACTCTGCAAACAGCTGTCAACCCAAGTCACAGAGCTTTTTATGTACCAGCTGGTACTGACTATTTTAGCTAGTATAGCCCAGGAACATCTCAAATTTCTTCTAAATTAGATTGTCAATAATGACTTCATCTGATAATTAAAGGTAGAAAGCTAAGGGGAAAAAAATTATTTATCCTGCCTTTATATACACACCTAAATTTTCATAGAGCAGTCATTTCTAGACTACATCTTTATTTCAAATAACCTTCTCAGTTTTAAAAGTAAATACCTGAAACATGGTTATGGGAAAACATCCTTGCAATACTTCTGCTCAGGGCTGAAAAATATGGTAACTCTTCTCCCTTTTTTTTTTTTTTTTTGTAGCTGTTGAAAGAATCAGTGAAGAAGATCACAGGTTTTAAACAGGATACTATTATTTCTATGAAGGATAGAGCTGTTATAACAATTCAGACATCCAGAGTTTTGGGACAAGGGAACAGACAAGCCATTTTGCAGCACAGTGTATAGCTGTATCTGAACTAGCTTTCCATGAGCTACTGGAAGCAGCCTGGCAGAGGCAGCCAGAGTCAGGTTAAAGAACCTACTCCACCCAAAACAAAAGGATTTGCTACAACTAGACTCCTAGTAGCCAAACCCGTGTCAGCATACACATACCATTCTGCAGGAAACACATCTCCGTTCTTCAAAAGTTTCCTCAAAATATTTTTTTTTTTTTTTTTTTAAACTTTTCAACATTTTAACAGCACTTTTAACAGTGCCTTTGAATCACATGGCCTTTGGACAAGGAAAGATCAGAAATGGATAAACCTTTTCTGTATAAAGACAGTGAAGTTCGGGGAAAAGTGAGGAATTGTAGACAAATGGATTGTCAAGATATTGAGCTGAATCCTCACAGAGTGCCTCGTGGTTATCTCATACCAGTGAAAGACAGCCTAAGACCTGCTTTAACAGCTTTAATCTAGCCTATCCTTCTTGACAGTATTTTGGCTCTCAGAAAGACTACTTTTTGCTTAAAGGTCATAGAATGAACAGTAAAGCACATGGAAGAAGCAGAGAAGCACACCCAGAAGAAAAGAATCTTCAAGTAAGCTACTGAGAGCCTGAGGAAAACTATTTTTTTTTGAAAGAGTCGGTTGAGAAAAGGAATGCACTCTGATCCTCATAGAGACTTTCAGAGGGAAGCATCTAGTTCACTAGGCCAATGAGTCTCATTTTACCATATACTCTGGAAGAAGAAACAAAGGACTTCACTTTCATATGTGCTGCTACCATTGCAGGAATACTGATACCATGGTCTATTCACAACCCGAGCAAACAAGAACACATACTTGTCTTGAGGTGCTTACGTCAACAGTCAGTTATTCTTTTCCACTGCAAATACCTCAGAAAATTACTTGGAACTTGAAAACCACAAATAGCTCAATAGGMTCTAAAGAAGGCTTGTGAATTTGAAAGAGAGTTCTGTTATTTCATACCGTTCAGGTATTTCAAAAGATCCCAAGGAGATACCAACTTTCAACCACCTACTTTGTATTTAAAAAGGAACAAGTCATCTTTACCCCCTGAATCTGAGTCTTCTTCTGCCACTACCAATTACAAGGGAGAGGTGACTTGTCTGCAGAAGTGTTTCAGAAAAGGGCCTCTCAGGATAAACATGATTTAATTGTCTGATATTGGATTAGAAACTCAGCTCCTCAAAAGATTTTTAGCCCGCTATTTGGCCCTTAGCTTTGTAATGGAAGAAGTATTTGCCTATCTGAGCAAGTAGTCACAAAGTTCACCTTAACAGGGACATACAGAAGTTCAACAATCTTGAGAAAAACTGTTACCAAGATGCTTTCACCAGTTTCCATTCAAATTAACACATATACCTAGTGGGAATACTGCATTTCCTCATGGATCTGGGGGATGGGAAGTGTCAAAAGTACTGATAAAGTCTCCACTTAAGCACAGGGTGAGGACACAACCACAAACACTTGCCCTCTGAAGCACAGCTGCGTCTTGCCTGCACTATGCTTGAAAAGCCCATTTCCCTGAAAGAGTAACTGCTCTACCTAAACATTTCTATGCCCTGAGAAATCTAGAGTATACATTAGGAACAAATTACATACCACTAACAGAGCCACAGCCATGTCTGCTTAGTCTAAGACATTCAACTCCCGTGGCCCAAAGGACAGTTATGCCACTCTCAGTTGAGTTGAGCTCTTCCTGATATTTACCTGGGCACCCAGGCACACACAATGTCTGCCCACAATGCAAAAATCACACTTGGCAAGACACGCAAGACAGTGAAGATTAAGATCCAATGACTATTTCTCATTCAAAAGATTCAGCTGCTTTGGCTGCCCCTCAAAAAGGTTCTGGCCTGTTGCTGTTAAATCCTGTCTAGCTACATCTATGGTTGATACCGGTAAGATAACTAAGTGAAYGGATGTTTCTTACATATCTCAACTACCTATTCCCTAAAGAAGCCTTACCGAGAGATGCAGAACTAAGATCTTCTAACACAAGATCCTTAACATTGCACGATGCAAAAACCTCCATTTCAAATAAGAAGTGACACAGCAGATTTTAAGTATCCTTTTGACTTAGTGACCATAGCTCAACTAACAGTGATATTTCATGGAAGTGTTTTTCAGTTCCCTGCAAATGTCACACATCTCAAGGGGTTTCAGCCTATCTATATTGAAATTTATCCTTTAGGGTTCTTCTGCAAGCTGGCAACAACTCAGTAGCGTCTCTCTCACCAGCACTAAAACAAATGCTTTTCACTGTATTACTTCACACCAGGAGACTTGTTGTCACTACAACACTTGTGCACTAAGCGGGTCTAACACCGAGTTACAGACCAGATTCAAGAAAACATGTTGATGCTGATTCATTCAATATATTTTCATTTACTTAAAATTATTTAGATCCCTTGTCTAGAAAGCAGCTCTGTCTTAGGAGATGACCAACATGCATTCCCACATTACAGCCAAAGAAACAAAGGAAGAACTGAAAACAGCTGCTTCTGCCCTACTGTTTACCCTCAGTGAAATCACTGACTTTCTTGATACAAGGCTCAGCTTCAGACACTGTAGCTAGGAAATCTCTATACCGTGTGGAAGGGAAACACATAAGTCATCTGTAGAATCTCTGTACACGCTCAGGATAGTATCACATAGGCCTGACTCTTTAATCTACTCAATTTTCATTCCGTAGCTGCAGATTATTTGTATAGTGCTCTAAAAGTCTGAACTCTAGCAGTTTTGTGCCCACGCCATTGGAACACAATAAAGCTGTGGCCTTCAACCTGTTACTGTCAAGCAGCCGTAATTGCAAGGTAAAAGCTACCTCAGCAAACAGGGAGGAAAAAAAAAAAAAGGTTAAACAGAGAAAACTATTGCTTCAGTTTTAACACATCACTAAAAACCCACTTGGAAACTGATACTCACTCTTAGAGGGTATTTTATTTGCTTTTGGCACATCGTACTGACATGCATTGTCCAAAGAGAAGGGTGCTTTCAGCAGCTACTGCCACCTGCTGATGAATATCAGAAGGGTGATAATTGCTTTGGACCTTCTGCCAAAGTTTTACATTTGCTCTGTAGGATGCTACAGTGTATTTAAACTAGTATTTGAAGAAAAATCCGCACAGTCCCAGTACTGTATATTCTGTCTTAAAACATTATATATTTTTTTTTCCAAGCCAACAGTAAGAGCACAGTGACAGGCATTTTAAACAAGTACTTCTTATTTATTCACAATTTAGATAAAGTTTAAAGAAGGACAAAAGAAATACAAAGGACAACATCAAAATGAAAAGGAATTTTAGTGACCAAAAGTGAGTTTCTACAGCCAGTGCTCTCCATACATTTCAAAATGTTATCCAAACACTGCAGGCACAGAATTCAAATAAATCCTGTAATAAACTGCTATGACTATTCCCTTTGAAATTAAACTGGGAATGGAAGTTAGCCACCTTTTATCTATGATTACATGAACCACCTAATTCTTTCAGCTTCTGCTTAAAGCAACATTTATCTTTTACAAGATGGATTCTGCAATACATTTTCAAGTAGCATTTTTCATTTTGTCTGAGCTCTGCTATAAAAAAAGTCAGTGTCAACTGTCTGTATAGCAAAACAACTTTTGATCTTGCTTGTGAAATAACACATGCAACTCATAGCAGTGTCACACTTGCAGCTTGGAGGTATCCTTGGAGATACTGCAAYGCTTCTGCATTCAGACTAGTGCTCAGCATGGATGGAACCTTAAAATGAGAGAGCAGGAGTGTCAATGTGCATATACATTAAGGTACCACTATATGCTGTTAATCACTGTGCCAACATAAGGTACTAAATCAAACTACAGCCTACCAGCAGCAGTTTTTATTGTGAAAGCAGCTGCTGGAATTACAGTTCCCCATGCTGTAAGCCTAGAAGGTTTATCCCATGCTGCATCTTGCAGCTGAAATACTCAGAGCAATTTTACTTGCTTCTAACCTGCGTCAAATGTGAAGGAGTATAGCAAGTCTTCAGCTATTAAGGCAGGTGTTTGGATGCAAGTGTTACATCTTTCAATCAATGTTTACTTACCAAAAACTTGAAAACAAATATGCTACGTATTAAAATAATTAACTGTAAATTTGTTTTATTAMCATGAGTTACCTGAAATTCCCTGATAAATAAAACTGAAATGAAAACAAATCCAAATTACGCATCTCCCAAACTGTAAATTTTAGTTTAAAAAACTGTGTATTTAAGATTAATAGCACGTGAAATAACATGGAAACTTTTTCTCTGTAGAATCTGAGATTAGTATACCAAGTATAAAAGCCACTTACCCTGCCTGGGCACGCAGTAGACAGTTTGTGAAGAGACTGTGCCAGATGGATTCTAGGATTGTTCACCATTTGACCTACAGGATCATGTTCTTTTTTCCCAGCAAAGGCTAGCTGAGAGAATGCAGTCTGATATCCTGCAGTATCTTCTATGTCAATGAAGTGTTCTTCATCAGGGATAGTGTCATCTTCRGGCAGTTCAAAAAGGCCAATTAGGGCCTGCAGCAAAGGAGTCCTATATGTAWAAGGGTGAGGATAAAGTCACACTGTGTAATGTGTCAGAAAGGGAGTATATTTTAAGAATGTYTAAGTTACTCAGAGCCCTTTACAATTTAGCCCTTGCGAGTACCAGCACAGCTGCTGAGGGTTTGCAGCACCTAATCTGTGTTGGGTTTGAGGAGGYGTGGGGTTTTGTATATTGATAATGGATCTGTATATTTTATAGGCTTAAGGGACATGCTATAATCAAAAGCATAAAAAAATATTTTCGTTTAGGCTGAATTCTCTTAAAATACATAATGAAGATAGTTCTCTTCTAGACTATTCCTTGGCTTTAATTGCACTTTTATTTCCTCCCTAGTTTCCYCTCGTTTATCTTCATTACAGATGGAATGGTCCATAATCTTCCCAGATAGCTTTTCCGAAAATTGTACCATCAAGCTTAGTTCTTAAAATGTCTCCCTTGGTTATTAATGCCGGTGCTTGGCTCTTCTGACCAGCAGAATAGTTTTAAGTCAAAATTTGGCCTAACTTTTCAAAAGTAATACAAGAAAGAAGAAAGTAATACTTTTTTCTTAAACATGGGTCCACTTATGCTAGGTCAGTGCTCTATGTCCATATTCTCAGGCCAGCTTGGCATATGCTTTGAAAAAAAAAAAATCTGTATTTATTTGCTGAAGAGAAAGTAGTAGGAAAAGCCTCAAAATTTGCTTCATAATAAGCAGGTCTGAAGAAATCAAAACAGTGATTTATAAAGAGCTGTTTTTGAAGAGTAGCTCACATTTTCAGAAGTGTTCTACATACCACAGCTTTGTATATTCTGTGTCCATCATAGGAGGGCATTCTGTCAATATTTTTGTAATACCAACAGCACAGATTTTCTTTTCAACTTGTCCAGACACTTTCTGTATTTCAGGAATTATTATTTTCTCCAAAACCATTCCAAACATCCTATTATGATATTAAAGGAAAAAGTATTAAGATGGAGTGCATCAGCCTTACAGTAACAAAAATAACTGCAACATGTTACATGAGTCACGAGAAAAAACAAACAAGCAAAAACCCCAGAAAGCCTGGCAACTAGTGAGGCTGCCTGTCACAGCATTTACCCACTAGAAATCTGACAGCACAAATTTTTCACAAAAGAAGATAAAATCCATGACTTGTCCCTTTTTATAATCTGCTCAGGTGACTATTTTGAATTATCAGGTGAATATTTTGAATTATCACAGAAGAACTGTGAGCAACAAAATAGAAGAAGTGCTCCAAAGAGAAATCAATCCATCTCCACAGTAGATGAAACCAATTTGTCTAGTCAAACTGGCTACTAGTCAAAGTAGCAACAAATATCCTTTTCTATCACAGTTAAAAGACCATTTCCAAGCTTTAAAAATAAAGATTACATAACAGTCTTGAATATACATCGTACTAACTTTGGCTGTATGCTGTCAAATATTTCTTGAAGAGCTAATGCTCCATACTTTATGCAGTACAAGTTAATGAAGACTARGAAACCTGTAACAAAAAAAAAGTCAAATTAAAATCATCAGGCAATCAAAACACTAGCTCTAAAGTTAGCAGCAAAATACATTACGAAGTTCTTTACCAGACTAGCAATGGCATTCTAAATAAGGGTCAAGTATTAATTAAGCATGTTAACTACATTAACTTGTTACCTAGACTTTTTGAAGTTCAAAATAATTGCTGATCTTTTTGTGTATTGCATTTATTAGAAAAACTTTAAAAAAACAGCTATAGATCCACTAAAATGAGACTCAATTATTTTCCATTAGAGCAATCACAAAGGATTCTCTTAGAGAAATCATAAAACAATCATTAGGAAAACCCCTGTCARACTTCCTGGATCATGAAGGTCCTTTCGCATGTTTTAACTGAAAACTCTTAATACAATGCAGCTTTTCAGTTAGTTATCAACTGCTTTACGTGATCATTGTACTGAAAAATGGGCTTGATGCATTCAGAGTGCTACTTAGTTTCAGTCTGAAGATGAGCATTATAAGCAATCGTATTCTTGTTATCAGTAGAAGGCTACAAGTGGGTTTTACAGGATTAAAAAAGGATGTTGTACAATTTGGGCAATAGTAACTATCTAAATAATTTAATCAATATGATAATGTCCATGCCACAGAAGTAATAACAAGAAAATGTAGTTGAGTAATATGTCACATATTTTTGTTTAAGACAGAATCAAGAATGTGATGTATGAACGGAAGACTACAACTATATATAACAAGGGCACATAAGGTCACTATCAATTTGTCTGAGAATGTTTGAATGAGAAAGTTTGCTGGTATTAAAGATGAAATGGAGGCACTTTCAGATAATTAGGGAAGTCTTTCAGGGCATGAAAGGGAAAGGAATAAATAAATTTTCCCCCTAGTTACAGTCTTTATGTTCTGGTGAACTAAGTATCAAATGTGTGTTGTTACAATTGTCCTACATGCAATCTTTTATAATAGAAATAATTTGAAGCAACTCACCAATGTCAAAAACTTACTATTTCCTCTTTATCTGCATAGTCACAGGACCCTACATAATACTTATTCAGGACTGTTGCATATTCTAAACAGCATCACCAGCATACAACGTTTTTCATAAGGGAAGGCACTTACTTTTAATAAATTTTGTTGTTTTGGAATTTTGAAGTCTTTGGAATAGTAGAATGAAGATCTGTTTCCTGTACTGGTCAACTGATTCACTARAAATTTAAAACAACAATGAAGCCAAAGCAGCATTTTACTAATGGTATTTTACAGAAAACATGTATAGAATGGTTCAAGCTTATTTTACTGACAAATTTCTTTTTTTAAGAAAATTAATATTTAATATGAAGTGCACAAACTAACTACTGATAATTAAAGAAATTAATTTTAATTGTAGTTTCAGTTCATACTCACGGAGGCATATGCTCTATAATACTATTTAGAAGATAGAATCCTTGATGGTCATTAGCTTTAGAGGCAATCAGCTTCTGGAACACACCTAGCAATCCAGGCTGTAATTAAAAAAAAAAAAAAAAAMAMCACCACATATAAAATTGTACACCATCCTTCTTTACATATGACCTACAAGAAACTTGCCCCTATGACCTAAAACACATACCGATGTGAAAACTTTCATAACCTAATACAAGTTTAATTTCTGCAGTTAAGGGCAACAAGAGAGAAGTGATATCCCCTTTAAGCATTAAGATTAATCTTGATTAAATCAATACCTGCATGTCTAATCAACTCTAACTACAGCAGAGCATGCAGCAGAAGTGACAGAACTTCAAGAACGCAGAACAAGTCTCCCACTGAATTTACTAACTCTCAAATCTTCCAATATCTTTGTTCCTCCTCACTGTTCTGAATRGAACCTCTGAGTTTTCCCACTTTCTCATGTTTGAAGTAGGGCAAATAAAACTGGAAAACTCTGGAAATTTATCTGTTTGCAAAAGGCCACAGGAACCAAACATGGAATTTTGCATCTTAATTGACAGAAGTACATGGAAAAAACAAACCCCAGACTGACATAATGAAAAAGCATCCAGAAAGCCTATATAAGAATGAAGTGCAAGCAGAAATTCTGCTCAAATCCAGCTATCCACTGAAATTAACATGTCTAGAGACATACAATCCTACTAAATCAATCCAACTTACTATTTTATCAGCGGCAGCTCTTGCTATTGTATTGGCACCTCGCTCTAAATAAGCCTGCAGGAGTCGGACTAAAGGAGGAATGTTTCCTGTCCTTTCCCATAACACTGGCTGAAGTAGATGAGGAAACAACGCCATATAGGATGACGGGATTTCGTTTTTATGCATTTCCAGAAGTAGAGACATCACTTGAAACACATATGGAATGAACTCTAGAAGATAGTGACAAAACACAGGGAGGGAAGAGGAAGAACTGTGAGGGACCGTTCTTGTTCAGAGCCACAGATCTTTGAACTGAACCCACAAATACAATACAATAACACAGATTCCAGCATATAAAACTGTGGAAATAAGTACAGCGCACCTCAAATTGAATCACTGAATAGATAATAGAAGCTGGATGTATGCTGTGCTTTCATTTCTTCTATTTGTGCATGTTTCATAATACAACATGGACAAGGCATTGCAAACAGGGCAGTCCAATTGAGAAGTACATATGAAGATCTGGGGAAGTAACAGTTAAAATACTTTCAAAATATAGTTCGGTTTAAAAAATAAACTGTTTTTAGGAAGCATCTTGATTTGGTTTGTGATTTTTCRTGTGCCACAGGGCACACCTGCTTCTTTAATTAATCTGGACTTCAAAGACTTTTCTGTGCTGACTTGGGTTTCCTGTCTTACTGAAGAAAACAAAACAAAACAAACTGCCAGGAGGTTAATCAAGTCAATCAGTTATAGAAGAAAGCGCACACAAGAACTTGCTACTTTTAATTTACCTTGTACATCATTTTGTAGTATCTCAGTGAAGACCATAAACAAGGCCTCTTCAAAGCTTCCAACTGCATCAGGGTTTGCTTTGCATGTTATCCGTATCGACAAGCATATTGATTCAAACATGTAATGGTTAAAGTGAGGTTTGCTTGGATTCTAAAAATAAGTTATGAACAAATAAATCATCCTCAGCTTGTAGTTATGTCACTTATTTAGTATAACATAATTTTTATTTCAACCAAAATATAAAGGAGCAACTAGCAATAAGGATACTGCTTTATTGATGTTAGGCAATTTATTCAAATTAACTCCACATTTCATAGTTTAAGTTTGACAAACAGATCAAGAAGCTTCCCTGTCAAAGAATGAAGGAACTTTGAGAAATTTAAATTATTGTAATGCTACCTCCTGCACAGAAGAATATTTATACCAGATAAAGCCATTATTATAAAAAGACTTAAGATGCCATTCTGAACTTTCAAGTGAAAGCAAAGAATGGTTTGGAAGTACATCTTGAAGACAGTATCTCACTAGAAGCTTGTTTTTGCTTATTTTAACTGAGAAGTACTGAACAACTAGCAATATTTCAACAAGAAAATATACGATATTTAAGTATTTGAAAGACTACTCTGATAAAAAGTAAGCATGAACCTTTTGCTCGTATAAACTTTTCTTTACCTTACTAACAGCCAGTAGTTTCTGTGTAAGTTGTGTGATGACAGAAGGGATATATGGAATTATGGCTTCCTGTAGCAGAGAAAAACTCCTCATGATAGCTGCAAATAAATTGAAAATATTATCTTCTGGAGAAAACCACCCACTTCTGTCATATGCCTAAATCCTTACCCTTTTACTATTGAATCAGACCACAGAATTAAGAAGTAAGAAAGAGCATCTGTTGCAAGATGCASATCTACAGCTACACCAAAGCATAAAAAAGGCCTTGCTACCTTTCTTCTACAGATGGACCACAGACAGATTAAGCAACTTGGCCACAGTAAAAGAGGGTCTTTGCAAAGTCTCAGATACGGGCAGGCTGTTAGCAACACGCCATTCAGATCTGCAGCTTATACCACTGAGGTGGCTGCTCCAACTACAAAGACTACCATTTGAGGACTGATTTATCACACACAAACCTACTCTGTTCGGTGTTTTTCTTAGGTTCACAAATTTAGTCAAAGATGATTTAAGAAAGTCTGGTGAATAACTGCAGTTTTACCAGTTTAACAGGTCTGCATAAATCATTTTTTTCATATCAAAATTTCAGTAGCCTCTAAGTAACTAAAAATAAAACTATCATACATAAGCCATATAAGCAACAAGAAGTTAAGCTTTTATCTCAAGTTAGCCAAGTTACATTTACAGGGAGATCAGGAGCATTCACCTTTCATAATGTATTCATTTTCAGATGAGCCAGGAAGCGTCAGTGCTTTAAAAAGGTTTGTTAACAGCACTTCCACAAATGGCATCATTTCTGCAGCTGTAATGCTGAAAGTAAAACACAGCTCTTTAATGATGAAACATTTTCACAACTTTCAAGCACTTCAAAATACYGTAACATAAAGAAATAAGAACCTTACAGGTATATCATCCTTAATGGACAAACACCATTTAGCAATGAATTTATTTCTGCTTGAAAACTTACAGGGTAGTATTACTAGTTCCCCTCATGGTAAATAGTCTTTCAAGGGCATGGGCTGCATAAGTATGGACCACAATACTTTCTGCTTGAAGATGATTGATTAAAAGAGGAATAGATACCAACAGTTGTTCTTTAGGTACCTACAAAAATACAGCAACAAATGACATAAACGTTACATAAAAATACAGATGGTTCAACACCTATCAGCCCTGAGTTCAGTTACAAATTGAAAGTTTGGTAAAGGATGAAATCYCACAAGTCTTCTCCAGATGCTAAATCACATACAAGCAAGAGGTATCGATTTCTGTCACCTCCTATATATTACCCTGACTGTTGCATATGATAGTTAAGTGCATATATTTCTAAAGGATAGTTATTTTTCCACTGTCTTAAGATGCAATTACATGCTATCAAAGCTTTCTTTTTTTTTTTTAAAGAAAAAACATATTTTAGAGCTGAATTAATGTAAAGCAATAATAATAACAACAACAACAATAATAATAAATCCACTGGCCACATTTCACAATTGGAGAGGACAATTTGCTGTACTCTCCCTAACAACTGCTATCGTGCTACAAGCAATCAGCTGTGTCTAGACTAAAACCCATTTGAAAAATCTCAGTATAACAGAAGTATGTTAAGTTCAGTGCCCCAACAGGATACACACAGGATATAGATCAGATATTAATTAGCTACTTATTCCAGTATTGTTTACTTTCAAAACTACAAATTCAGCACCTATGTTATATAGGGCTACCAAATGCTATACAGGGCTTCCAAACATCTTTTGAGTGTCACGGAATATGTTAAATCAGTTAAGCAGGCTTAGCAAGTATAAAGTGATAAAGTACAAGGGTTTTTTTCCCCACAAGAATAAAGGGAAAAAACATACCTGGTTTCTAAAAATCATGATATACTTGATACCATCAGCTTTTAGAACAGGGAATTCATTCACTGTGGAAGAAAAAAAATGCAAGTCTTGGTATTTTTGATAACTGATGTTGTGTCTGTATGCGGTATTGTATCAAGTTGTGATTTTCCCTCCTGAAATGCACATAGTGTATTCCCACACTTGTTGGTTTGTGTATTATTATTGCACAGTGACTTTTAGGTGGAATATCAGTTTTACAGGCAAATCACACACTGGYACCATTAAATGAACAGTCCAACTCTTTCATGTAAAGTTCCCTCTTTTAGCTCTAACAGCCTCCAATTATGTATTCCAAGACCACCCACTACTCTCCAAATATCACAGTTGCTAAAGCACAAAATAACCAGTCTGTGGCTTTCATCTATAAATCTGTAATCTCATCAGCAGGGGCTGATATGGACTACAGCCTACCTTCCAGTATTTTAATTTCTGAGTTTCATCTAGCATAGAAGTCTGCCATACACAAATACAGAAATCACATTACTTGAATTCAACTAATTTAAGCATGTCAGCTGATAGCAATCACCTAAGTACATGCTCTTATTTTGAAGACTGAATGAGGTAATTCACCTTTGTTTAAAAGCTCATTCACTGCAAACCAAACTAACTCAAATTACTTCCCACATGCCATGTGTTAATACTCTTCTGCCTCACAGATAAGGCTGACACAAAATCATTTCAGTTTATATCTGTGCCTTAAGACACAATGGCCAGGGTCAAAGTTTTAGCACGTTACACAATTTGCTATTATGAAAATTAACTTTAAACTTACCACTAGCAGACTTTAAATCAGGTTGAATGTGATTGACAAAGAATTCTGTCAGATTAACAAGTTCATTGGCTTGTGTTATTCCATGCTAGAAGAAGGAAAAAAAAATTTTAAAAAGGGCAGGTAAAAAAAGGAACCTACAACATACAAGCGCATTGCAAAGGTACTATTTCAATCATTTCAAGCAGAAAATCCTCTAATGATTTTTTTCCTGTGTTTTTAACATCCACTTCTCAGTTGGAACAGTATGAACATTCAGAGTTACTGGCCCAGAGTTAAGAATAACATGAATCACTTATAATAATGAATCAAAATATTAGACAGAAAACATAAGAATCTTATTAACTTACTAAGACTTTTATTGTGACAGCCCTTTTAGGTTCATATGCTATTTCAAGATATAAGCATTTGCATTTAGGGACTGTAAGTGTTGAGGAATATAATGTGAAGAATTGAGAAAGTTGTTGCAATTCCTTCTGTTCTCGGCTTCTCAACATTTCTGATGGCCTGGGCAGCTAAACTTGGCCCTCCAGGGCTTACAGTTCTGTCTCMGTACAACATAAAGCACCAAGGTTCTAGATCCGAGTCAATTCTGTTTCTTTATAGGGCTGCCGCATTCACATTAACAAGCCCTGCCACATAGTCACACTTGCCCAATATATGTGAAGATCAGATAACTCATTCACAGTTAAAGATGATTTGATGACATATTAAACCATGACCATAGTACAGGCACAGCATTTAATCTCATAAATATTAAAAAACTACAAATACAATTATTCTCATTCTGAAGCAGCACAAAATCATTTATTTCAATCCTCCTACACACTCTAATACGTGAAAGCATATGTAAAATAAACAAAATGTAGACATACCTTCTGAGTCTGGGCTTTGGATGCCAAAGATGTAACAAGGTAAATAGCTGCATCTTTGTGCTTCCAGTTAACGGATGGGTTCTTTGCATATTCTTGCAGCATGGAGTTAACATAGCCAGAGAAGATTCCTGTCACGGGTCCTTCAAAAAACTTGCACAGGCCTCTGACTAGATCACAAGCTGCTCTGCGCCTCGTGTCAATGTCTGCACAAGAATCAAAGTTTCTTTAGATACAAGAATATAAGCAACTCCTAAGCTACATCTCCATCTTCTACTAATGACTGCAGTTCTCTATGTTGATGTATAAGCACAGCATTGTATTTACTATCATAATTGAAAATAGTGTATTTTATTCACTCTTTTCTACATGAGGAATGGACATCTCCCAGTACTGCCTCTGCATAGACAGGTTTGCCCTGCAAAGAAAGCGTCAGTAAGCATGCAGAGGGACACATTCTACTATCTTCTCTCAATAAGCGTGCATGCAAAAGAGTTAATTTTCATAGGACTTGTAAAAATTCCCTGTTACAAGAGRAAAAAAAAGCAATCTGGTCTTGAATACGATACTCAAACAGAAGGGACACAGAATAGTGAAGCAGGTCAGTAATAGATCACTTTGCAATAGATTACTTGGCCGGAGTAGTCTCAGAAATACACAAAAGAATACTTCTTGATTAAATCATCTTAAAAACAGAAATAGCTGACAAATAAAAGCCTCACATACACCTGAAATGGATGAATATCGTAAAATATTTGMTTGAAGAAGTGTGAAAACATTTTCCTCCAATTTTGTCCTCTACTGCACAAGCTTATATTTCTCAAAGCTATTATGAAGTGTCAGGAATCCACTTTGTGGCAGAACAGTGTATATAGAATGCCACACAGATTTATATCTGGTTCATTTATGCTCCAATTTGTCTGAAAACTAGACAACTACAATCTCAAATGAAGCAGCTYGGTTAAACAGCTCTATGGTTTCAGGAAGGTTTCTATATTGGTTTGAACACAGTGCCAGCACACACAGAGGTTGGCTGGTGTCCATCTGTCTTGACCATAGAACTTTATGCAAATTTGGCAAAGTTTAAATTAAAACACCATAGGATGCTAAATTCAGATATGAGTGTATCTATATTATTTAGAATTAGAAACACAGAACTACGGCCATTACTCAGCAGCGACATGAAGGCTACAATTGCCTAAATGATAGTGCAGTACAGAAGACAGAACGATTTGAGTACGATAAGAAGCTACAGAAACACTGTTCAAAACAAAAAGCTGTCAGAAGGGGCAGATCATGACAGGAAATTTAATCAAAATTTGAATAAAATCTCTTGAGAGAAAACCATGTTCCCAATTTCAAAAATAAATTAAGAGCCTCAGAAGAATGCGTTAGTTCTTTAGAGCTGTATTTAAAGACCAAGTATCCTTAATAAAAATCTGTGAATTACCAGATCCTTCCAAATCTCTTCTTATATATTCTTCTGAATTATCTTCAAATGCTTCTTCATCAGCCGCTGAAAGTATAAAATATGTAAGTGATTAAATACCAACATCTCTTTTTTGATGGTAAAAAGCAGTCTCATCTTTACCAATTTGGTACTTTCTCCTAACAGTCTTCTGTAACATTAATAGAAATAAACCAGAACTGCCCAGAGTAGCATATTTAACATGTTGCATCACAAATTACATTTGTTTTTACATTCAAGATCTTACGTATTTCAGTAAAGGGAAGAGGAAAAAAACAAAGCCAAAAAGAAACAAACAAAAAAAACCAACCAAACAAAATCCACAACATATTCAATACTAAATACATTTAAAGTGGGAAGTTTGAGTCAAACTTAGAAGCTTTTTATCTCTGCAAATCATCACTGACACCAGCACTGTATTTTTGGCACCAGAATCAGAATGAAGCTTTCAAAACAAGAAGCAATAAGCATTACAATTCAGCAGACGAGATACCCATGCCTAGACTTTCTGGCAATCAGGCAAAGCATGAAAAGTTACTGGTGGCACTCAGCACATGACCTGCACTTTTCATGCACACCACAGCAAGAGAGCAAAGCCATTAAATATATTCATACAACAATTCTATAAAGCCCACAATACAGCAATCTGTTGTAGAAATTTAGTTCTTAATCTAGTACTAAAACGCACAAGAGCTAATCCTCTGGTAATGTAACATATCAATATAAATAGTTATATTTGTAAGCTTAATAAAAATAATTAAAAAATACCTCTAAATTCCATATTGGGAACAATAACCTTTTCACAGATGCTTGTCAATGTATTCTGGTCTTCAAACAGATGCTTATAATGTGGTCTCTCACAAACGGAGGCCAGAAACTGGATTGCATTACTAACCAACTAGAGTAACACATACAAAAAACACAAAATKTTAGCATCGCTGACCAAACTGCAATTCATTAAACTTTACAAGATCAGTTTATAAAAACTTACCAAGTCATATTTAACTTCCTGGCCTGTTGTAACTAACAGATTCCAGATTGCTGTTACAAAACGTGGCAGGTAGGGTTGGAATTCTTCATCATACTTTTGAGCATACAAAGCAGCATTATCACAGATTTGGGATTTTAAGAGCTCTAGTAATCCAGCTTCCTCTTCATCCTCACATAAAAAAAATAAAATAAATAAGTATCCAAACACCAATACCACTTTTAATATTAAAGTTACCAACACATTTGAAGTTTATATAGTATTATTTCATCATGTTCTAAAAATCTAAAATATCTTTAAAAATATTTAAAAAGAGAGGAACAGAAAAAACAAAGCCCACTGTTCAGTTTTAACTACCTTTAGACCCCYGATAGGGGGTTCAACCCACAGCCATACATGTCTGTGCTGGTGAATGACACACGGACACTGAAGAGCCGCAAAACAGGAAGCAAAAGACAGCCAAAAGTGACCATGAAATGACAGCACAAAATACACTATTTAATACATCTTTCTAGACACTATCAAGAAACTTATATAGTGCTTTGGCTCCATCACGTGGCAAGCTGTATCGTACCATATCCAGAAGACATTAGCTTTTAAAATAGCATTTAACAGACAAATGCACAGAATATTTTCAGCACAATCACAGATGCAAAACAGGTAGTGTTATGCAATACTTACATCAGTCTGCAGCAGTTTATTATCTAAAGTTAAAAGGGTGTGAAAATTTGTCATCCACGTTTCCATGTTATCTTCAAAAAACTCAGGAAGGTCCTGTGAAGGAAAAGCACAAACCCACCTTTTAATTTCTGACTGGAAAGTTTTTATATAATCATCCTATCCGATAAAGGACATACGATTCGTATTGCAACCTAATGATACAAGCTGAAGTATGAACAACATTCCTCAAGAGAAAATATTRAAAACAAAATAACCATCCTCCTCAAAACAGAGACTTCAGAAAACATTTTCCAATCTATTAGCTGCTACACCCTAGATAGCCTAGTTTTCTGCAGAAAGAGTCTTACTGTTTGAGAAAAAAAGCAAAAGCTCCCACTTCCAGCTGCAACCTGCTCTTTTGCGCAACTTTGAAAGAGCAACCTGAACAATGAAGGCAATATCATCACACCGCTTTTGCTTGTGTCAGAGTACAAAGGACCACAGCAGAGTCTAGTTTTACTGTTTTTCTTCTCCATAGAAGACATTTACTCAGTATTAGAAAATTAGGTCTCGTTTCAAAAAGGCATCAGTACTACCAGGATTACTAACTATTGTAGTGCTAAAGAGCTACTAGTTTTAAACTAATTGACTTTCACTTAACAAAACTGAGCTCATGTCATTACAGACTTAGGTTTGACTTCTGGCTTTTACAGCACACGGTCAGAGAACTATCTCCACAACTACTTGCTATAACAAGGGGTTTGACTCTCTTCTCCATCTTCTATATAGATAGGGCCAGGCTAATGCATTAATTAACCCCCTCCTTACTGTGCCTTTACTCCAGCGTTGATGCAGACTGTCAACTTTTATTTTGGCCATAAATCATGGCCTTAAAGGCTGCCTCAAATGGATCCTATAAATAAGAGCATAATAGCTTTGTGAGATTAAAGCAAAAGCAATAATTAGAAAAACAAGGAGATTCACCTGAAAATTTAAACTGTAGAACAGCTTCGCAATTAGAATGAGAGAGGAAAATAGAACCTTCAAAGCACTAGCATCATTTGCATGTGTGCTGCAAAGTTCAATTGTGGCCTAGAAAAAGACAAAAGATTCAGTCAAGTAACACACACAACTCTTAACTACAACGGCTATTGAAAAGTGGCATGTAATAATGGATTTAACTTTTTTTTTTTTTAAATAGAAAACATACTTTTCTCCTCTTTATGGTTATGCCATGTCTTGTCTCCTGATTCCAGTGTGAATCTCATTATCAGTTTCAAAGTAATTCTTCTTTAGTTTTGATTTTGTAGGCACTCACAACAAGCAATCTAGAATGCTAAATTTGTTTAAGGAATGATTCAACAATGAATACCTTAAAGAGATTTGTCAAGGGCAATGCAAAGGCATCAAGGACAAGTTTGATCTCTGTCCATAATTCATTTGACTTAAATTCATGGCGGTACCTGACACGTGAAAGATAAGAAAACATAAAATAGACTCTTAACACTTAGTCCTAAATTAACTTGCATACAACTGATTTTCATGCTGAAATTTGAGGTAAATCCTATCAAGTAAACTCAAAACCTAAATAGCACAAAGTAGATCATGCAAGGTGCAAAATTTGGTAATCTCTTAAATGAGGTCATATTAGAGTCAACAGGCATAATTAGAAGGCGCAACAGCAGACTTTCTAAACACACACAACGAATCCTAATGGTCAAAGTTTAAAGAGCTAAGCAGAAATTTCACAATCCATACTCAGACTCCTATATTCCTGGTACCTTTTAAACAAAGAGTGAGCAGTGCGAAGGACCCCATTAATGACATGGAAATCTCCACTTTGAAAGCGATTCACCATTTCTGTCAGCAAGTCTGGCCATTTCTGAGGAAAGTCTTCCCGGCCAATAATACTAATTGCATCACTCAACTGGAAAGGAAAAATAACTATTATGTGATATAAGTTCTACTCAAAAAATAATGCATTAGTCATGCTGAAAATTACAAATATCTCAGAAAAATCCTTATTATTCTTGTCAGATTCAAAATCATTCAGTTAAAGATCAACTAGTTTTCATGACAAATTAATAAATCTCATTTTAAATCCCATGTGCACATGCAGTCCGACTTTATGGAAGTACTGTATTTAAGAATATTTACCAGTAAAATAATTGCAATAAGTGAGCAAAAGTTCCTAAGCCTACTCCAAGATATTTAGATTGGAATAACATTCCTGAAAAGGGTGTTGAGCATTGCTGTACCAATAACCAGAGCTTCCAGACACGTAAAATTTTCTAAAAGTCTCATGGACACGACCAGAAACTGCCATATTACCTGCTTTTGAATTTGTTCTGGGCTGCTGAGCATCAAGGGCACTATGTTGGCTTTAATGGCTATCCGATCTGATTCACATATTTTGTTCGGTTCATCTTCAATCTAAAATTAAAGCAGTAAGTCACAGGTGTATCAAGATACTCTAGGCATTGAGGGAATACCCCTATCAAGAGAAAACAAGATCTTCAAAATCTGAGCATTACAGGTTATTTGATGCAAAAGGCAACAACAACTGTACCAGACAAGCTCCAAAGAGAGGCAGGACTTGCAGCTCTGCTGTGCTCCTTTTAGATGGGTCAGGAAGGTTGAAATGGTGGTGAGATCAACAACAACAAATACTACAATGAGCTTATTTATGAAATTTTTGGAAGTGGGACATTCTTACAAGACATTAAAGGCAGTACTTTCCAGTTACTTCAGAGAAAATAAACGAATTCCCCCCAAAGCACTTCCCTGTCTCCAGMATTACCTGTTTGCTGGCCCTCCAGGCCCCTTCATCAAAGCACTTGGGGAGACAAAATCATTTTCCTCCCTCTGAGTTTTGTATCTGCCAAGTTCAAGGTCACTAACTTCAACCACGTGAYCTAGATCAGTTAGTCTTAGGGCAATATTTTGTTCTCATATGAAGCTTTCATTTCGAGGGCAGCAATTTTGGACAAAGGAATGTGCCTGAAATCACGCAGCAATTGTAATGGTCCTCTGGCTGTACTTAATACAGCATCTGCAACTACTCCAACACAAAATTCATCCTGAATCAAATCAGTAGCTTGCAAGCTTTCCATAACAGAATGTTTTTTTCTCCTTATAACACATCATGGATAAAGATGCTATTTGGGAGAAATGACTGAAAACGTAGTTTTACAGGCATAAAAATCTAGATATTTTGTCCCAGATTAAACGTGCTAAACTTAACTAACATAAACAGTTTAATACTAAGATTAAGAGACCACAATACCTGCARAATTTTAATAGGTGACAGATAAGCAGTAAGCTAAAAAACACCAAATACTCTTCTTGGAATCCAAGATCGTACATTTTATACTTCTTCACAGAAACAGCACTTTCCATGAAATACTATACAAAAGGCAGCATGAAAGTCTCCTTCCTACTGTAAGAGTTGAGTTCTCAAATGTGATTTCCACTATAAATTGAATATGATGATTGCTGAAAGCTCTGAATTAAAATATTTCCATTCTTCAAAACAAAATATAAAATGGGATTAAATGGCAGTATTTTTTAAATTTACTTCTACAAATACCTTTAAGGATCATGACCTGGCATTGTCCAAATCCTTCCATGCCTCATAAGCATTTATATGAAGGAGATGAACTAGAATGACCTCTTTCAGCTGCAGTGCTGCCTTGAAACATTATACTATGACAATATACACCAGCAAAATTGTCCAGCTCCTGGGAACAGGCACTTTACAATCATTCTACATTAAATAAAACTAGAATTGATTAAATGGGATTCAAATATTGTACAGATATATACATTCAAGTATTGCAAAGAATTCCTTCTTCAGCATTTTTATTAGTCAGCTCTTAAAAAAAGAGGACTCAGCACTCCAGGTTTTAAAAAGTTCCATATAAATCAGTGTTCTGTGTTTATTCTCTAGAAACGCACATGCACTTCTGTAAAGTTAAGAGATAGAAAATCTTTTTCTGCTTCAAAAAGATTACAAAATCTCAGCACAACTACCCAGCAAAATACCTACAATTCTCCAGTTTCTTTTAATATAGTTCTTGAATGTTACAGATGCACAAACTTTGATGACATTTTCCTGTGATTTCTCCAGCAGTGTTAAGAGTAACAATGGATAATTCTGGCTTCCTTCAACAGACTCCAGAAACTTTTCCGCTGTAAGAGAATATGCTAAGATTAGACAAAACTGAACTATTTTTTCTAGTTAGAGCACTAGCATTTCTCAAATGTCTTTTTAGAATGAACAACTGATTACCACTTCTCTAAAGATTAATAAGAACAGAAATATAAACAGAACAAATGGGTCAGAACAYACTGTAGCTTCGTTTCTACTAGACATTTTAATGCTTCTGCTACAAACAAAAGCTCTGAATAAAGAGCAGGCTGTAGCAATTTTGCCTCCTCACCATTTTTACAAGCCATTAACATGACAGCAGCAAATCCTAGTTTATTGTTAGCAGCACATGTAGCAGCAGCATCACTTTTTAATTAAAAACAGTATGAAAACAGGAAAATTAGGAAAAAAGTAAACAAGGGGAAAAAACGCATATACATACACCCTCCACACACTTTTTTAGGAGACTGAGAACTTTTGTAAAGGAGTCATTTCGAACTTCTCAATAAGTGTGTTATAGGCAATTAGAGGAAACAAACAAACACCAAGCTCTTCAGTCATGTGTAGCACTTACCAGGACGCCTTATAGCAGGATCTGGATCTAGTGTTTTCTTCAAATATTCCGTTAAAGTCTGTAAATTGGCATCACTAAGCTCCATTTTGGCAGCACCTGAAATCAGAAAGTAATTTTGTTAAAAAATACAGATCAAGAAATAYGTAAGTGATACATATGCAGAAATAGATGACACAGAAGATGCAATCTGCTTTTTTGGAGTATACCTCTCAGACTACGGCCCTATATTACATGTCTAATGCAATAAAACAAGAGTTAAGAGTGCAGCTAGGCACAGAGAGAACACACTCCATGAGTAAGACACAAATAGAAGATCATTTCTTCCCCAACTTGACAAYATGAGTTCATTTTTGCTTCTGAGAACAAGTATTACCCTCAGAAACCTGCCCTGATTGCAAAGAGCTGAATAGCCATGACATAGGAAGTTATAAAAGATTACCTAGTGTATTAGAGTCAATTTTTGTTTTAGAACACCTACTTGTCATGTTGTCTGTAGAAAACACACTTTTTGAAAGATGAAAAAAATACAAACCCAAAGGGTTTGTCCATGCTGTAGAATTACGCGAGGACAGGCATGAAATTAAACTGCAATAGTTACAACAGAAGAACGATGTGTAAATAAGGCTAGATTACTCCTCTCCAGACATCCTCCTACTCACGTTCTCTTACATACTACAGTTATCTTCACAGCTTTTATTAGAACCATACAGATTACAGTAACATTTTAATGCACATTTTGCTTTGGATCCCACGACCCGTTCTGCCCATCTCTCCCTCCACCTGCAGCACAGCTCATCCACTGCAGGAGCCACGTGGGGCTCTTTTCTTCCCTGGAGTTTAATCACAAAGACGGAAATTTGTCTGTGACCAGTACAATAAATAAATTTGCCATTTAACCATATTTGCAAAGGTAGCAAGTTTTAATGATTGAAATTTCAACCAACAGCATTTATATCACTAAAAGAGAGAGTAAAGAGAGAGTAAAAAAGRGAGAGTAACTGTATATTAACTGTATCTTGACTTAAATCAAAGTTAAGGAGTAACTGAAATCTCAATACAGAACAGGAGGGTAAGGAAGAGGAAGATAACAAAAGTTCTACCACCATATTTAACCTCTCACTTCTGGTTTCTTTGTCTGCAGCCTCATTCRCCTAACAAGGTGGTAATTTGGCAATTCCACTAATCACCAAAATCCTAATAAAGGGCAGGATTATCAGTTATCACCAATAAAACCTGGTTCTTCTGTTCTGCTACAGAGTAACCTCATACATCAGTATTATGATGTTGAAACCCACATTTATGCCTTTCATTATTAAAAGAAAAAGTCATCTAATTACATGAGGAAAATTWGTAAGGCTGGCACGCAAGCCTATGTAGAAACCCTTTATGAAGACTAAGCTTTACTCAGCTAGGAAACCAAACAGAAACACAACACTCACAATACTGAAGGGACTTCAAAAATACCTCAGGTAGTTATATAGTATAGGGGTCCCTATAAGAGAGCACACTCATACATTTCAATCTGTGAGCTTACTTTGCAGGGCAAGCACCAAGACTGAACCCAGGACTTCCTTATATAGAGGATATTTACAAAAACTACTTGCAAATTTATTATTTTTTCACTTGCTACCTGTTTAATCTTACAGCCTTCTCTTCATCTATTTTTTTTCCACACTACATTTAGGAAATATTTTAGCTTCACACACAAACACAGATACAACTAAGTTAGCGTTTTATTTCCACACTTACTTTTTCATCCTACATTCAACTTCACCCACCACGTGCCAGAACCACCGTTAAGCAACAGCTCACAGGCCTTGGCATCTGACAGATGTGACAGTGTCTGGTCYCCTAGGACTACCAGTTATCCCATCTGTTCTACACAAGAAGGAATCAGCCTTTCTTCATGGTAGTGTTACAGAAAATAGAAAAGTTAAGAGATGGTGCCCTTTCAAGAAAAGGGCATTGCAGAGCCTGTCTTCCTTTTTTTTTTTTTGGTCCAACAGTGGGTTCGTTACAGCTCTGCTGCAACCCCCGTCCGCTGGTCTGAGGGGTCTGTCTGCAGCATGCCAGGGCCGCGGCCCGGGCGGCGCGATGCCCCTCAGCTCCGAGCCGAGCCCAGCGCCCGCGAGGCTGCGGCGGGGCGGCCCGCAGGCACGCTCTGCGGGAGGGAGGCCCGCACAGGCGCCCTCGGCGCGCTGGCGCTTCCAGTCAAGCTCACGGCGGCCGCATGAGGAGGAAGAGGAGGAGGAGGAGACCGCTCCGCGCGCCGCCGCGGCTCCGAGCTACGCGCGCTGCGGCTTCCGCGGCCGCCACCATCCTGCTGCTCGGCCGCCTCAGGGCTCCCGCGGCGCGCGGGGACACGAAGCCGCGTCGCGGCTCCGCTTCCCCATGCGCTCCCCCGCGGGGCCGGCGCCGCCGCGGCCCCCACGCGCGTCGCGGGGCTCCGCGGAGGCGGCGGGCGGCGCGGGAGCCCGAACGGCACCGCCGCGCGCGCTCCCCTCCCCCCTCCCGCGGCCGCCGGACAGGCAACTGCGCGCACCAATGAGAGCAGCGCGCTGTGCCGTCCCGAAGCGCCGCGGACCAATGGCGAGCGGCGGGAGGCGGGCCGAGGCAGCCCCAGCACGGCGAGCTGCGCCTCTCCGCGGCACCGCGGGCCCAGCGCGGAGCTCCGCGCGGAACGGCGGCCCGGCCGGGCGCGGGCAGCGAGCAGCGCCGCAAGGCCGCACCGCCCGCCCGCCTCCCCGCCCGCAGCGCCGGGCGGCCTCACCTGGCGCGTTCCCCCGGCGGCGGCAGCGGCGGCTCGGAGCGCTCCGGCTGCGCTTCACATTCAAACCGCGGCGAGAGGGCGCGGCGGCCGCACCGTGACCGCATCACGCAGGGCGGCGCCAGCGCCCGCCCGCCGGGCCAATCAGCGGCCCCGCCTTGCCCTACGCGCTCCCAGCTCAGCCAATCCCTGCCGCGCTGGCGCCCAATGCGGGCGMCCAATGGCGGCGCTCTTCCCAGAAGGCCACGGGGCGGCTCCGGGAGCCCCGCCCCTTCCCGGCGGGTTGAGGCGAAGGGAGGTGCCTCAGTCCCGTTATGGGTTAAAAAAGGGCTAAAAAGGGGCTGCTCCGGCGGCACCTSCCTCCCCAAGGAGTCCCGATCCCTCCCAAACTGTGCGGGGAGAGGAAGAGCGAGGGCGACGCTGAAATCGTCTGGAAGAAGAAATGGGCCGGGCCTCTTCCTCATGACGTTCTTCTAAAAACTACATCAAAACCAAGCCACACTTTTCAAAACTTTATTGATTTACCACTTGATTAAAGCATGGAATATTGTAACAGTATTATACATAGTTTTTTCTTTAATGTAGAAAACTTTACATAGCTTTTTCATATAAGTCGCTATCCTCTCAAAAATGTATACATCCATTGGGCAAAGACTGCTCTTTAAGTTATTGATATTAAATGCACTTCATCTGGAACGCTCCAAAAAAAGGCATTTAAAATAGGTAAAAACATACATTTTGCACAAAAATAAAAGGTGCAGAACAAACAATTTACATAWTACAGGGGGCTGCACTGTTGCTGGGTTAGAAGCTTTGTTTTTACTCCAGACTAAAGGTACTTCAAGTGATAGACTAAGCTGAACAGCAAGGGATGGGGGTTTTAGTACTGTTAACAACTGGAACTGCTTTCAGAGCAAGAGAGAACACGGAGGTTGCAAGACTTTCCAAAAAATTATTCTTCCTTGCAAAAGGAAGTTGAAGGGTTTTCCTAATAAATATCCTGCCTACTCATCTCGGAGGGTTGCACAGTAAGAAGTAGTAAAATACCATGCAGAGTCTCTCTATTTATACCATTAAATTAAAAACTGGTTTAGCTATAATCTGTTGCATAACACCATTTAAAATATCTAAGAGCTAACTTTATTAGTTTCTCCATGTATTGCACATAGAGGCTGGATCTCTTCCAGGATATGCTGACAAAGAACCTTGTTCTCAATCATAGGGTTTCCCCCCAAGCTGGTAAAACTGCCCGAGGCGGCTGGAGTCGGTGTCAGCAAAATCCAGGACAAGATCAGAAGCAGCAGCGATTGCTTCAGGAGTTTTGGCTCAGCGTTAGTAGCTTCATTAAAATGTTAATGGGTTATGATCTTTGAGTGTTGAAGGGCAACTGAACAGTTGTAAACACAAATATTTCAGATATTACACTTAACTTATTGCTTTGTGTACAGTCAATTCCACAAAACTATGACCAGATTAAGGCTGTTAAAATCCCATTGCATTCCAGTCCTCATCGCCTTCATGCACCACAGCATAAATCTAGAGTGGTTCTGATGTCATGTACCTCAGTCCAGCAGCTTATAGATGGTATAAATACAATAAAAGCTTTGCTTAAGAATGCCTATGGTGCATCTGTAAAATAATTTTAGATCTGAAGAGACTATTTTTCAAGACACAAGTTGTAAGGCTTTCAGAACTGAAAGATACAGAGAAAGCATGCAACTTAAAATTGTTTTTTGACAGGAACTAAGGGTGTACATTCAATGAGGCTGTGACATTCAAAATCTGAAAAAATAAAGTTTCAAATACTTTTTTTTTAGGACTATCTAGGACAAGAAAAAAGATCAATTTAAATATTTAAATAGTATCAAAATAAATACTTCATTTTTACTGTAATTACTGAAGTGACACTACCAGGGAATGACCAGCTACACTAAATGCAACACAAAAGAACATTTCAAATGCAGTAAGTTATAGACATTACTTATTTTTCAGTCTTTCCTTATGGTAAAATATAGCCACGTATTCCTTTTTTAACTAAATGTTAATGTATATATTTAACAGGCATTTAAATATTAAAAAGCTACAACCACCATTTACTTTTCTTTGGTTAAAAAAAAGTGAAAACCTTACCAGTACTAATGACTGTTAAAAACACTCCCAAACACTGCTCAAGTAAACTGACTTACTGAAGGAGCACCACATGAACCTTTGGAGAAAGCTCAAAACAAAGATTCCAACAGCTCTGAAAGGGAAATACCCCAATACTACTTCACCTATGGCTGCCCTATCAGAAAGCTCACCTCACAATGAAAAGTCTAGTATTTAATACCATTCCATTTTTTAAAATACTGTAATATTTCAGGGTTCCCAATATAGATAGCACAGTGCTGAATACATTAACACGTTTCATATTAGGTGAGGTGGCACCTACCCTACTACCCTGCTAAGCTTTGCTTAGAGAAAGCTCAATTTGCAATTAAAATCAGTTCAAAGGACAGATTTTTCAACCCTGCAGTACTTCAGTTCTCTGTGACACCTATTTCCATGGTATAATATCAATTAGCTGAAGTCTTGCTAAGAAAAAAAAAAATTCACAGGGAAAACACTACATAGTGTCAGGTCACATGTTTGTTTTATAGATACTTCCAAGCACAGAAGTATTTTGCAAACTGTTGTGGTACACATATAAGCTTAAAGTTCCAATTTGCTTAAAGCATCCCAGTTCCATTTTTTTTTAAATCTTTCCAAATCACAATAAGGAACTACAAGTGAGACACTGAAAAACAAACAAAAAAAGGCATATGAACAATCAGCACTTTCGGATCTGCAATAAAGAACCACAATGCTGATATGTATTAAGGATAGGTCACTTCTTGTTAAACAGAATTATGACTAAATATATTATGGTCAGGGTAAAGACTTATTTATTCAAAACCTCATTTATCATATCACTTTAGATACTTGGTCCATGATCCAGCAGCGTAGGAAAGTCAACTGAAAGTTTGAAAGTGTTTCATTTTAATGCTTTAAATTAATGCAAGACTAACAAGCTAGAGTAAATATTACTCAGGAGTATTCACTCCTGATATAAAACCTTTCATAAGAACAGAAGAACATTTCAGAATATGAAACACTGCTATTAAACAAAAAGAGTCTTGTAAAATGAACTGCTAAACAGCAGGAAAAACCCTTTCCCCAAACTGGAATATCCTACAGGTGCCCACAACAACCCAACTAAAAACTGCTCTGCGTGGTCTAGTCAGGTGCATACAAAGAAAAACCCAGAATGATCTTAGGTGGTGATTAGCACTGCAGCATAGTTTATTTAGAACACATGTGCTAACATCACAAGGCTATACAGCTATGTTCATTATTTCCAAGGGGCATCATTTCCATTGAGGAATAATTTCCAGCTGATTTAAGATTTAGCTGGGATGCAAGACTGAACAATTAGATTAGACAGACTTGATCATTAAGTATGACTAGCATTGAAACAGACTTTACTTCTACTGTATTAACTCTGTAAGCAACAATTTAAATTAAATAAAAAACTGATAATTTTGTAGGACGGGCAGAATAGATTATTTTCCTCATCCAAAAACTGTCACTATGGTGGGAGTAACTTGCTACTCTGATGATTTACCAGGGTCCCATTTCCCCCTGCCGCTATCCACTTGAATCCATCTGTGGAACGTAGCTTTATGTACAAGCAGCAGTAACTAACTCTATGTCGGGCTACCACGAGGGTAGTTTTGTGCCAGCTGTCCGTATCTGCTCCTCTGTTATGCAGATTTTGAACACAACCCCTATGCGCAGGAAGAACTTCCGTAGCACAGCTCGAAGCTCAGGAATCAGGTCAAACTGCATGATTTCACACAGGTATGGATAATACGTTGAAGCATGTGCCCTGAACTATGAAAAGAAGATATGTAAAAAAGACACAGTTATTCTCTGTTACTACAGGATTTCTCCACCTCCCACACACACATTCACATCTATATGCATGCATTAGAAAAGACCTCACTAGATGACACCAAAGACCCATCAAGCCCTATGTCTGTTTTCTACATCAGTCTCAGCAGATGCTTACAGAAAAAAAACACACAGACAGCAAGCAGATAGGAATATTTTCCCAGAATACAGTCAAACTCCAATTTGTGGCTTAGATTTGCTGAGGAAGGGGTGACATGACAGTCTATGCATTAGGAAAAAGCCATATGAACTTGTTTGGTTGCTCCTGAAGCCCTGAAAATATTATCAGCAAAATTCCACATCCACCAGATTCTCAATTCATTCTTTTCTGTATAAGAGATAAGTGAGAAAGACCCCAAACCTACATTAATTCCTCTAGGAACTATATCCCCCCCCTACCAATCATTTCATATATATATGACACATAAAAAAATATATATATATTTTTAACTCTGACAAATTGCAGATAAATAGCACTAAACTGTGCAAGACTGAAGTGGAATTACACCCTGTGCAGTGGAGCAAAAAAGGCAACAGTATTGCAGAAAGTCTACTTTAAAAAAAGTTGGAACAACTTCTAGGGCTTTCTCTGCATGTGCTAAACTAATGAACATTTGCATGAATGCTCCTCAAAAGGACTGAAACCCTGAAGATACTTTCTACTACACAGAAAGCTGGCACATGGAGATGTAATGATTCCTGTACTTCAAGGAGAATGCATCCTATGCGAATAAGTGAATTAGCCATCTTGAAACACATCTTTGGAGAGCAAAGACTGAATTCAGCAGCAGAGATGTTGAGGAAAAAAAATACTTGAATGCAAAAAGTTGTTGCTTCCAGCCCATTCTTACCTTTTCATCACTAATTTTTAGTGTTTTTGTTAAAAGCAACAGCAGTAGATTGGTCCATGCCTCTCTGTGGCTTTCCGAGTTCACCGTAATAAAATAGGCCAAGGCTTCACTGCACACACTGGAGAACAGAGTTAAATTACATCGCATGCATTCTGCACCTTATGCTACATTGTTCGAGTAACTGTATCCGTTATACCTCTGAATATCATTCTGTACTCAACAGGTATGAAAAATATTTGTACAAACATTTCTTCGCAGAAGTAGCAATAAGTCAGACAAGAAGGTACTTTSTTTACGTCGAATGGATCGCTTCCTTATTGCTGAATTCACTTTTAAAGAGCAGCCCTTTATCTTCATATATTTTGCATACTCTGCTCAGCTTAAAGAAGAACACGAGTAGCGAGCTGGTAGCAAACAGTGCACCCCAAAACGCAGGCCCTGCTACGCGGGTGCGTTTACCTGAGCAGCCGCTGCTGGATGGCATCCCACGAGTCGCGGCGGTTTTCGTCGATGTACATTCGAAAGAGTATCCTCAAGCAACAAGCCAAGCTGCTCGTCTCTTGTTTCAAGAGATTGGGTTTTGATTTACCCTTGAATCCTAGAAAACAGTTACACATGAGAGAGGTTGAGGGGAGGTGGATGGATGAGGGAATATCCACAGTAGTTACCAGCCAAGCAATAGAGTTCATCAATTTTTGGACAGCAGTATGAATCTGATTTCTTGTGTTGATAGCCTATTCTTTCCTTCATATTTTTGAAGGACACCTAATGTATTTCTATAAAGACATTTAACTACAGCAGTGAAAATCTTGCAGCCTTATTTTAATGAATAAATAGAAAAGTTATTCTTAAATCACTAGGAATCAATAAGAGCATGCAACAGTGGCATGTAAGCTGTAGAGATTACTGTAGCAATACTCTTTTCTATTTCAAGATATATTTACAACCATAAATGGAGTTCAGTATTTTCCACCAAGCTAAAAGTAAAAGCCTCACCTGCTCTCCACAACACTGTTCGTTGTTCATAATTTGAATTAAAGGCTTTTGAAAATGAATGGGACTCTTGCAAGCAATCTAGTAACTTAAAGAGGTGATGTGAAGACATATATTTATACATTCCTTGGTCTTCTGTGTCTATATGGATATCTGCATCCAGGGCATCTCTCTAAAGAAAACAGAATAGCATCAATAATTTAACCTTATTATAGAGTCTTAAAAGACTTTCTCTGATACTTCGGAGACCATACACTAATTCAAGCAAGATTCCATTTTTAGGTACAAGTGCAGTTCATTAGCAATCTTAGAGTACCAGCCCCTCAAACATTAATGCACTAGCCTGAATTTCTAACCTATGGCTGTATTAACATTAAGGAGCAACCTGCCAGTATTCCCTAGAAATCATGATAGTTCCATTTTCAGGGGCAAGGGCCTCTCCAAGGATGGTAACAAATTAAATCTTGATTGYTAACCTTCAGCAGAAGCTCAGCTTCTGCATCTCCTCTTGTGTAAWCCGAGACACTGAACAACTTCAGCTCTTGGTAAAAAACATAAAGGTCCCTCCCAAATGAAATATATACTTAAGGAATACACATTTATTATAAAACATGTACAAAYAGGCAACCTGTCAAGGAATCACTAGGTAAGAGAAACAATACACTCGGGGTATTTTTTAAAGTTAGGGAAAGCAGGAGACTCCATGTATTCCATTCTGTAAATACACTTTGCAAGTACCGTCTTTGCACTTTACTGCCACAGGTATAAATAAATCTGATTGTACCTGAGCTGCAGCCATGTGCTCAGCATCTTCCTTCTTGCTTGTTGCTGGATAAAATACTATATTATCAATGGTCTGTATCAATTCCAGCTGTACTACGCACTTTATAAGGAGGCCAGCAAATAGTTTCTGGTCTAATAAAATGGAACAAAACAGTTTTTAGAAGTAATGACAATACCCTTAAAACAGGTTAGCAAAATTACAACATTTTCAAGTTTTGTGATGCTGTGAATCATCTTATAAAGAGAAACTCTCTTTAAAACTAAGAGGTTATATCAAGTCGTCACAACTAAGATTTGAAATCACCAAGTGGCCTAAACCCACCCCAAAGACTACACAGATGGACTGAGAGCGGCCATGAAAATTTGATTAAATTTGCACATTTTCCTTACTTGTATAAGCACCACCTTTCCAGCTCTCATCTGTAGGATTTGAAAATTGACTCTGTCCTCTTTCTGAAGCATTTTTATCCATGCTGCTTAGAGACTGGTGATCTAAGTCCAAATCCTAAAATAGAATGTAGAAAAATTCTGATAATCCAAAAAAATCTGTCATCCAACTATCAGTTTTTAGACAACTTAACTATTCTTCGATTAGGTCCCATCTTTATCTTACTTCACAATGCTATCAGATACAAGCTAATGTTAATTCCAGAGCTCGCTGTCACATGTATTTACTGAAATACAGTATTTTTAAAGCTAAYCTAACACATTAGCTTTCAGCTTAGTTTGCACTGAATAATTCTTACCAAGTGTTTTTCAGCTGAATCCTCCTCCATGCCTGCAGGCCTCCACGTAAGCAAGCTTCCCAGGGAAAAGAAAAACTGTATAAATACTGTTGCTCTGAAATAGCTCTTAGTTTTCAAAACACACTTCACATACTTACACATGAGGAATGGTAGTTTTGAAGATTTCTAGCATACAAGTGCATGTTTGGCCCCAGACTTCAGGGCTGAATTTCTGTCCATTTAGTATTACCAGGTTTTCTAGACAGTTTGTACCCGATCGAGCCAGCTGTTCATTATCTGTGAATGATACGTTCCTTGTTTATCAACTTGCATAATAACAATGAAAATTAATTATTCTTTATACAGCTTCATTAAGACTTTTGTTCAGAGATACACACTGCTTGCACAAAGTGCCTAGAAGTAGCTCAAAACATATGAAGTAATGTATATGAAGTAAGAGAAATTTTGGGGTCCTACTGAACACAAAGTACTGTTTAAGAGACACCATGGCACTGAAAATCAATCAGAGAAGACAAAGGAAAGAAGCATGAAGGAAGGTTATAGTGGGATGAAAGAAGGTAATCAGGAGCTGAAGGTTCTTACAGCTTCTTTCTAGCTAGGCCCTCAAGTTCTGTGCTAGCAAACTGCAAGACACAAGTCAAAACACAAAATACGCTACTTTTTAGAAAGCCATTCCAGAAGTATTGGGAGGCAGAGAAGATCTCTAGGCATACATACATATATATACACACACACACACACACATATATGTATTAATAAATCACATATTTTATCTAAGCAGCAAATGGAGAAAAATGGTGGTAAAAAAATTAACAGAACTCCTCAAGCTGCTTTGCTGTATTACAATAGCATGACAAGTACATTGAAAAAAGAGCTAACTGATTAAACAGAGAGACTTTTAAATATTTAAGACACAGCACACATCTATTACCTAATACTTTGTTCTAAAGGTAGTTTATATTCTTCCCGAATTTGGTTAACTCATTCCCTTGAAAAATGAGCAATCTAAAAATACATTCATCAAAAGATAAAAGTAAATAAGCTACCTTGTTTTACACACCAGTGTAACTGTGCAAATATGTCAGGAAGAAGGATCTCATTTAAAGCTTCATAAAATTGGGTAAATACATCACAGATTGCATAAAGTGCATGGTTGCATGTAGTTGTCATCCACTCAGATTTCTGTTAGGAAATGAGAAGCCTTTGTTTTTATGGGGGTTCTATTATGATACTACTTGGTTTACAAGCAGTTATTTGAAAAAGGAATCAACCTGTAAGAACAACTATTTAGACAAAAAAATTTAAAAAAAAAAAAAAAAGCCACTACTACACATGTCTGTTGCCAGAAGCACCATCTGATCATTGTGAAATACATTTTCACAAGGGAACATCCTCCCTGGGAGCAGGCAGACAGGTCACTGGATATCTGTAATAGGTTTTCATCTCAAAATATCAACTTTGGTAGTTACATAGTGTTCTGAATACTCTGTAGTATCATGATGACAAAATGCCAGCAGGGGTGAAGCCCAGGGAGAAGGCAAACACCAAAAACTGCCTTGATGTTGAGTTTTAGAGGACTAATTCTATTGGTTCCATTTTTTTCATTTTCCAGATTTTAAGCAATCCCTTCATTCTCTCAAAAATACAACTTTTTTTTTTTTTTTTGCGCTTTTTTTTTTTTACCTCTGTTTGTTGTTCAGGCAATTTCATATTGTCAAAAATACGAAACACAATTCTGAACAGATCTTGCCACCAGTGCTTTTCAAAAGTATGGCCATAACTCTTCATTATTTCAAACATCACTGTCAAGCCTCTATAAACAAAACAATCATAGGAAAAAAATGTTAAAATGGCTGCTTGTGATTCTTTCCCTAGCCATATGCAAACAGAAAGCAGAAGAGCCTTATTACCTTGTTCGAACGTCTAACTTACAACGATTGATGATGCAAGAAAGTTCAAATAATATAGGGAACCATCCTCTGACCCATACTCTGTCCCCAGGAGCAACATTCATGTCATCACTTGTGTATTCTCTTAATACCTTTARTAGAAAAAATAGAATCCTGTTGTATTTTAGATACTTCTAGTATTAAACAGACTTGGAAAGTTAGCTCAATTTATACTGTTACACTCATTCTTTCAAAAAGAAAAAAGAGATACCTACTTTTTTAGATAGCTGTAAAAATATATGAGAATAAGCATTTACATCAAATCAGTTTTATTTTAGACCTGCTGTAGTTTTCTACAAGGTCACAGACTTTAGCATTAACAAACAAGTTTAACAGTGACAGAAAAGTTATAGATACAGATATCTATCTGGTCTGAAGCCAGTTTAACTGGATATAAATAGTGAGACAAAACATGGAGTTGTTTTCGATATTATGSTAACATTGCAGTAAAAGGCCTATTTAAATCAGTTATTTCCATTCTAAATGGAGTGTTTTAACTACTCCTAGTTTATTGCTAGCCTAACACCAACGTGATTCCTAATTCTGAATAAATTTTTAATACAAAAGACTGTATTTTTAATACAGTCTTCCTTGGAGACTGAACTTGACAGCTATTTCTTGGCTGCAATAAACATCCTCAGATTAACAAGAAAATGCTGCAGTAATACACAAGGGTAAATGTGTAAGAAAATACCTGTGGTCTTTCTGAAACATATTTTGCACAATAACGAATAAGTCTAATAGCTTCCATGCTCGTGTCTGGAAACGCTACGTTACAGGCAAATTCTGAAAGGCATTTTACCGCATCCTGGAATGAATCAATTGCTGCCGGAAAGTGCTGTTGAAAAATATTTGCTGTGGAAAACAAATGAAAATACTTTTCAAAATTTACTAATACTGAATTTTACTAATAGTAACCATCTATAGTAAGCTACTGTTGCTATTTTTCCCCCCCTCTATAGGAAATCAGCAGACCTGATGCAAAAATCTTACAAGCAAGCTATTTAAACACCACATTTAGGTCTTCTATTTATCTATTAATACAACAGTCTTATTCTGATAACCTTYTTATGCAGAATCACAGCAGTTTTAATTTATGTAGTTGTATCTGTCAAGTATTACTTACTAACGATATGTGCTGTAGTTTGAAAGGCCAACTCCACAATATTCCCATCGTGGTCAGAAGCAGCTTGGTGAAAAACTGCAAAGATATTCTTCCAGCCAGARCGAATATTACCAGCTTGGGAGTTCACCATCTGGGCAATGCAGCGTATGACCATGTCCCGAATAGTTGGGGATCTGAAAAAGCAGAAATTAACACAATGTCAAAAGCCACTTCCACCTGCAAGGGAATCCAGGCCRCATCAGAGCACATCTTTAAAAAGGCCTCAAGCAGCTAACACAGAGATTCCAGTGCATGCACACCTGTTTTTTTTCATAATATGCTCAAAAGGCCTCAAGAAGTCTTTCTGGAAACGGAAGTTGGCCAACTCTCCCTTCTCAAGAAACTTCATTGACAGCTGCCTTAATGAATCTACTGCAAAGATGGCAACATCTTCATTAGGGTTACATCCAACCTAGAAGAAAAGCAGGTCTTCAGTCACTTCCCAGCTAACACTAAAACTTGCAATGATTCATCATACAAGTTCGATCTTTGGCACATTTCTAGTTGATATACAGAAAATAAGGGGTTACTTTTGGAAGGGATCTAGAAAATAAGGGGTTACTTTTGGAAGAGATCTGTCTCAATCATTTTGTCTGTGTATGATGCCCCACAGATCCTGCATGCAAGTGCAGAACAACCACCAGACACACAGAGCTTAGTTTAGAAGGACAGCATGTCCCTAGTTCCTCAACAAAATACCTTTGCTATTTCAGGATCATCTCTAGATATTTTAGAAGACTGAAACAATCCTTACATTTAATTAGAAGGATAAGACAACGGCTGAGGGAGAAGTACAAATACAAAGCCATATAACAAGGCAGTTAAGATTATTTTCATTAATTCTATTCTTATCCTTTCAGTTTTTAAATATCTGTTCCCTTTTAATTAGATACCAGATTCTAACATTGCTTAGATTTTTCCAGCTCAAATGCTGTAGATTTTATGTCTTTAATGGATCCTGACATTGTCACAACACCACATACACTGCTCAAGAACACAATGGAAAATGATCAAACAAGTCCTGCCTCATTCATTTACATGCTGTAACTTTAATTTTTAGATTACCTTATTGAAATGATCTCCAATCACTTGCCATATCCTTGACCACTGTAGCCTAATGCGATTCATATTGTAATATGATATCTCCACTATCTTCTGCAGGCTGAACATGCGAGGATGGTGTGGGGAAGCCAGCTCGTCCATGGAAACAGCACACAGCCATCGGACAAAGTCAACTGAACATTAAAACACATCTCTAAGTTCAGGATGTTAAACTGCAAGAGTCCCTGTAAACCACCCTGTGGACAGCATACTTACCTATTGCATTTCCATCAAGCCTCGTTGATCCTGTAAATATCCTGTAGATGAAATGAGTTGCAATTTTAGCTGCACACAGCAAAGAGTCAATCACATCTTAGAACTGTAAGTAAACATCATTACATCTCCTCAAAGTACCATGTAACCCTCCATGCCATGAACCCTGCACCTCTTCTATTTTTATTACTTGGCAGAAGTTCATGTCCCTCTTCTTGCAGTTTTGAACATTCACTTCCCTGCTGCAACTTGGAATCTGCTGTGCTCTCCTGTACTGTGGGAACAACCACAGGCTCCTATTTTTCCTYCTCTGCACGCACTGCCAGAAGACCCATTTGGGTAACAGGGAGAAGGAAGAGGAATTAAGAAAGCTTCTTGCAAGACTTTACTGGATACCAGCTGCTGTCTTCTTCATTTTTATGTAGTTCAAGAGTAGCTTAAGCTGTGACTGTTGAAATGTATCAGGAAGACTATGGATATGCAGCCACTCCTTCCTTGCCTAAAAGAGTTCAGAGTCTCAACAGCTTCACAGGAGACACTGGAAGGCTGAACATACAGAAACTATTAGGTGACCCTGTAGAATTGTAATTATAAAAAAGTCCTCTTCCAACACATTTTATGTTAAATAACAGCATAGCTCATCAGTAGCCTCTTTCTGAAAATAGATTAAAAGAAAAAAAAAAAATCTTTCAAGAACCAAAGTGTCTGATATGACAGAACCTGCAGATGAAGTGAGGGTGACCAGTAACTTCAAGGCGCATTTTCCCCATAAAAACCACATTCAATACCTGTCTACTGCTACCACCACACTCTGTGAGCTGGTCTCTCCCACTGACTCCTGAATGCTTGCCATGTGCCTCTTATCAGCTCCACTCCCAACCAGGTTACCTGCAAGAAAAATAAAATAAAGCTCAACACCAGTATTTAGCATCATGAAATAGTGGCTTTTACCAACAAAAAGTAAGCACCCACAAACAAGCAGAAAAGAGAGACAATTAGCTAGTGATTTATATGGATCAGTGCTTTACCCAAACTGTGCCAAATTACTACAAAATTGAACATCCAATAAAAAGATTATTTTTTCTTTGGGTGTTATGTTTTGACCTTCAGGATTTTTTTTTTTTCTAATTTCACAGAGAGAGATCTTTATTGTATGTCTTGTATGGATTGATATGAACTGAAATAGCTGAAGTAAYAGATTCAGATTTATTTAGTTTCATTAATCTCAAATCAAGACAGAAAAATAAGTTTTTGTATCTTGCATCATAGAGCTGATCCATCATATCTGCCTTATAAATGCAGCTTTGTAAAGTTCAATAATCTTACCCAATCCCAAACCCATAAATTCTTCCCCTCCAGATGAATAGCTCTTAATACTTCCTTCTCTTTCACGCCCAGAGCCAGATAAATATCGAGTTTTCACTCCAGTTCCTATAAGTTGTGCTAGTTCAAGCTGACTAATACATTTCAAGATCTGAAAAAAAATGACATTTAAACATTTTGTTTCAGGATATGACCTTATTTGTATTCCTATCACTCTACAGATTCTCCCCCCTTTAGACACCAATTTTGATGTAGCTGAAACACCATTACTAATGTAACTGGAAATGCACCAACTGCCATGAATCACTGCACAATGCAAGGATAACAATAACAAAACCCAAGAGTACCCAAAAAGTTTAACGTGGATCTCYGAAAGGAAACCTTTGTATCACTTTGCATGGCGTCATGAGAGAGGTGCTGTAAGTCCAGTCTGAACAACTTGTCAGCTAAACTACCTTTTGGCTCATACTATCATGCAGCCAAGGACTAGTGTCAAAGATAAGGCAGAASAAATTCCCCTTTTAGCAGTAACACAGATTAAGGTCAGATTAAAGACCTCACAAAAATTAAGTATGAGACCAATAGCCTATCTTTATCCATTCCTCAACAAGTTCCTTTGGGCCTACTTTCTCATGTGATTTTACTGTAAAGGTTACCAAACACTGGACAAAGTTTGAATTTGTCAGTTGCAGTTCTCTGGTTTGTATGATCAACAATTCAATAGGCTGTCTGCCCRAAAAAGGCAAGAGACGATTTTTAAAAAAACTACCAATTAATGTATTTGAATTCAAGTTTCAAACAGGGTTCTGACAAACGCAGGGAGCTAAACACAGTTACCAAAGACTGAAACTAATAAACTAGCTAGAATAAAAGAACCTGCAGTTTTCAAAGGATATTGTGGCTGTACTATTTCAACTATACAAGTTTTTACCTCATGCCAAGAGTTCCCAAGATAGTTGCCGTCCGTGTGAGCAACTGTAATAAGYGTCTTAATGGTGTCTATGTTTTTCTGTTTCATTTCGGTAATGCTGGAACTGGCGGTCAACAAGGAGAAACGAGCAAGTGCCTGTACATAAGCATCTCGTTCAAGCTACAAAGCAGAGAAACAAGCCATGTAATTAAGTTCCTCCAGAGCTGGAGAAAACCACTTCCCCAGCATGCCTGCGTGACTTGTTCCCATGCCTAGTTGGCAATTACATTTTGAGCACTCTCCATTTGAAAGAGAACAGGAGGTAAGCTCGTAAATGCACTTAGTAAAGGCTCAGCAATGCAAGGGAATCAATTATGAAAAGCTTGAGGATATAAAGATCTCAAAACAAACTAAAGAAATGATGAGGAAAACCAGTTATTTCTACTTGGCTGTTTCAATAAGATTGCTCATTCACATTTCTTCTTTTTCCTCCTAGAGTCTAAACTGCCCCTAATGAGGTCCTTGCAAAATATTATACAAACCTGCATCCCAAAGATACAAGCTATCCTAATTGCACATCGTATTCCTTCCAAACAAAGAGATGCAACTTCTGTGTCATCACAGTTCTGCAAGCCAACGCTGTAAGCTGCCAGCAATGGAGTCCATACAAGCTAAAGAAAGGAAGAAACCATGGTTAGAAGTCTGCTAAAGCATTAGGCAGACTAAATGCCATCCCCCCCCCAAAAACTGTCATATTATCTAACTCTAGAGCATCATTTCCCACATTTTTTCAAATTAAGACTGTCTTAACAGTGATGACAGAAAAAGAATTTCACACACTCACTTTAAACATGGGCCTGACATGATCCAGATGAGTGGCACTAGTGAAAGGGGCCTTTGCGTGGCTTACTGCCTCCATGAGGGCTTTGGCTGTTTTAGCCATTTGCTCCATCTCCAAGTTGTACAACAACCTCCGCTGCTTCTCGTTGGCTACATCTAAAGGGGAACAACCATACGGTTCCATTAGCGTTTCTTTTTTTTTTTTAAAAAAAAGCAGATTCCATGATTTAGCTCTGAGTATTACAAATGTTAAATGAAGCTGTAAAAAATGACACCCACTGCTAAAATCTTCTATAAGCATTACAAGTCAGAGGTTGTCACAGGATGCAGACAAGGAATTCCAGCACTAAAATTCATATCCCAACTAAAGACCTTATTCTAAACATAACTAACTCAGCCCTTCATTTACATGCCAGGTGCTAAGAGCTGAAATAACAGAAAGTTGGAGGTAGACTGTAAATCATCCCTTCTGTCCAAGTCGGCATGAAATGCTCTGTGTTCTTAGGCTGAAGTTMCCAAAAGAAAACTAGCCATCACAAATTACTGATTCTTTTCCTAATTGACTTAGTTACCTCATACTAAAGGTTGCAACCTTACTTTTCAGGCAAATCAGTTTGCTCCTGATCCAGAAACTTTACAAACAGCATCCAAATCACTGAAGCAAACATACTAAAGGTCAGAATTCGCTAGTTAAAATACTGGGCATTGATTTGATTCTGAGTAAATGCAAAGCACATTTGAGGATGCTGGTTTCTGTTGTGTGCTACACAGAAGTGCACGATTGTTCTAGGTGAGGAAAGGTGACTAAGTCATGACAAACTCTCCAATCTCTCCCTTCTTCAAACGTTCTCAGCCTCTGAACTATGACATGCTATTGACAATCAGGCACAAAATACATTGCTTAGTACATAAAAACAAGAAGTTAACCTACAAATCAAGTACCAACTATCCCCCCCCACATTTCCATTTCAGACGAATCTACAGTTCCCTTTGCCTCCCTGCAGTGGCAATGGAGGAACACAGCTATGTTTACATTATAAAAACAGCAATATTGAATAACAGCTAAGCCAGTTTCATTCTAGATATCTGTATTAGTCATTCTAAGTGTAATTTCTGTATTACATGGATATTTGTAAAAAGGATTGAGCTATCTATGCCATGCTGAAGAAAAATTACTACAACTTTTCAGAGCACAGATCTTTCAGGTTCTAGCTCCTCCTTACTTGGCTTACTACACTTGGTTGCAATTGCATATTCTTTTGTCTCCTTCATTGCAATTTTCTTTCCTTCTATTTCTTCATAGATGGTGGATAAATACTCTACAGGCAGATCTTTACTGTCATTGATTCCTCGATTCATTTTAATGTATTGCTCCTTTGTCATTTTATTCTTTACCTATAAAGGAGAATAGAAATTAGTATCAGACTTTGAATAAAAGTTCTAGAGAAGTTTGAACTTCTATAGCTGCTTTGTTTTTGGAGAGGTTTTTTTTCCTACCTGTGGACTATGCAAGTCTGTAGTCAGCATTATAATAGAGTACGCCAGAACATAGGCAGTGTCAGCACTAGCAAATAGTGTTTGCCTGGGGGAAAAAAACAAAAACCAAAACCAAACATATTTTAGAGGCTTAATTCCTCAATCCATTAGTTCTATTTCCAAATAYAGGAGAAAAATATCCAGGAGTGCTATGTATTCAACCAAAGAACTGCAATAAGGTCATTACTAAAGGCCTAAAATTAGGCTTTAGAAATGCATGAAGCCCAAAATGCTTTACAATACAAATAAAAGATAAATATAAAAGCACCATTTTCACAAGGTTGAGTGCTAGGGAGGACTGGAATCTTCAAATTCCAAAATTGCAGAAAGATTACACATTATCCTCCTTTGAGTCTTCTGACAAAAAGCTAAAGAACAGGCTATTCAGTTTCAGAAGGAATTGCACAAAATCAGACCAAGTGATACACCGAGTGGACTAAGTGGGAACCAATTAGGACTGAATACCTAGCTACCCATTAATGCAAGCCTGTTTACYATATTAGAAATAACATGAACAGTCTACTTTATGTAAGTGACATACGTGCATTTGCCTTTTCTATTTAGCTAATGGAGGCAAGAAGCACAGCATCTTATTAGCTACTTGAGCAATTTATTTTTAATTTTCACCACTACTAATTTTCACTAGCTACAGCTAGTCTCTGTTGTTTATACTTGACTAGTCCAGATTTGATCATAAATAGAGAAAAAAATATATATTACAGAATTTTAACATGTTCAGGGCTTCTCTCATTCAAAAATTTCTTCTAACAAATATATGGTATATATTGAAATGCCAGCATTGGTATTGTGAAGCTTTAGATAGAAAAAAATGGAAGTTAAAAGTTGCCTCCAGGAAGTCCTGATAGAATACTGTTTAGCTGTGCTGAAGCTCCTCAGCAGCCAGGCAAAGCAGTAAGATCTGTTCGCACATGAATTCTATAGAGATGCCCAACTTTTGTGATATAAGCAGGAGTTGTGCTTTAACCCCGGGGCCACATACACACAAAAACACCACTCTTCAAGCACTCGAGCAAAAAGGTTCTGAGTTACCGTTGGTTGCATTCAATATATCTAGCAGCAAACTTCTCCATTAATCTGTCAATTTTCTGGGCTTCACCGGGCAGCCGGAAACCTTCCAGAAATATCCGCAGAGCGGAGACAAAGTCTTTCCCACAGAAATCTAGTTGATCTACATAGGCATACATCACTTCCTTGTTAAACTTGTTGCTTTCCCCAAGAAATTCCCCTACTTGGGTCTAAAAACACAAGAGACAGTTATGAGCATGTAATCCAACTGACAGCTTCACACAAGAGTTGCACAGCAGTTAGTTTTGTAAGACTGAGGTGCTTCACTGAGAAGGCAAAGCAGCTGTTAGCAGGATGATATCTAAAAAATGAAACACACTAGTGTCAGTAAACAAGTGGCTTTAGCCTGTATATTCTTGCCTATCTCATTCGCCAAAGCAGTGCATGTATTATCCTACAGTTCAGGAAAGCAGCAGTGCACCAAATTTCATCTATGGTGGGGAASACTTTGCCACCACAGTTCACAACACTCCCTTGGTGGCAAGGTACTGCCAGTACAGACATACATAAAGTTCTCCCATGTATGGGGAATCCTTCCAGCACTTTCTTGCAAACTTAGCTATTTTACCAAAAAGCCTGGGACAGCAAGCAAGCAGAAATTAGAATGGGGGTTGAAGTAACTTCATTGCAAGCCTCACACTATTAGTACTAGTTATCTATTAATTAAAAATTAATTAAGAGAGAATACATAGGTAGACTTCAAAGGACAGGGGAAGAGAAGAGAGAGACAGGAATATTTCTGTGAGAATATCATTAGCTATTTTGTTGCACGTAGTCTTACAGAACAGAGGCGTTCTTCCTGGTGCAGAAACTGTGCAATGTCCTCTGCGGTAGTGCCAAGCATACCCTGCTCCTGTAGGTACTGTATTCCTCTCTTTGGTTTTTTATTAAACCTACTCGGACAAAACATAGGTCAAAGTGAATCATGCAAGTGAAGATATAACTGCCAACACCATTTGGGTTACATGTCTCTGTAAAACTAAAGATTCCATGCTATAGTTCTATACCACTTTTAAAAAAGAAGGTCAGAATGTCAAGGAACATGATATAACTGCATTAACTAATCAAATCAATTTCTGCCTAGGAACACACACTTTCTTCTCTGTGGCTGAATCAACACAGAGGAAAGTGTGAAACATCCTCACTTAGGTCAAAGATCTTACTAAATTCCTTTTAACTGTACTTATTTCCAATGTCAGCTTTTGACAAGAGCAAGCATCTTAGGGAGCAAGATTAATGACAATATCCCCCAAAAACAGGCTGCATAAGAACTGTAAGAAATAATATGGCTGCAGTTTCTACCAGTGATTTTTTCTTGTCCTATCAAACTTACAGTTCTATCCCATGCTCAATTATTTCTTTTTGCTGCTTGATAACTTCAAACTGCTCTGGGTCATCTGGGACAGTGGTCTGGGTACCAACACTTCCAACTCCTGATGACACGGTGGAGTCCAAGGAACTTACGCTACTTCGTCTYCCTCCACTGTCAAGGCATTTACCTTCACTCATTTCCTGTTCAGACGGTTTATATGCACCTGTTTTTAAACACAGATTTATATTGTCCTGTTCAGTCAAACAAATTTAGTCAAAAGAGTTTTTGGTAAAAGTTTCTAAAGGGACAATGTTCCTATTCTATCAGGTATACATTTTAGCAGACTACAATCTGTGAATGTTATACTGATGCAATTCTAAAATAACCTAAACTCTTTAAAAGGAAAAGAATAGCAGCAACTACAGAGACAGATTCTTCCACTTAAATCTACTGATCTCAACAATTGTTACATTTGTCCTATATGAACCAGWTTTTACAATGTTGATAATGGCCTGGATAAAATCTTTAGAAAACATGAAACCTAGATATGTGAACCAGACCCTTGGAGTGACAGTTACTGCAATAACATTAACTACTACAAAAAACATTTCATTTGTATAAACAAACCTTCACATAAAAATCCAGCACAGCTTCTAAAGACTCGATATATACACGGACCAACTTACTAAATTGAGTCCTGCACAGAGAAGCAATCTTACCTAAGGTGGTCTGATGATTGGGATTCACGTAAAGGTCTTTGCTCCATTCTACCATACATTTTAAAATAGAAACCAAACATTCAAGTCCTTTTTTCCTCAGGCTTAGTTCCTAAAAAAAAACAATGCCCTTTGCTTTATTATACAGGTAAATTACAATATTCAGTGACAAAATAAGCTCTACTGCTACTCCAAGGACCAGGAAAGTGCAAACAGAAAAGCAGAAAATACATGCAAGAGGAACACACTGCTGGGACATAAGCCCCAGAAGGAAAGTCATCTGACTATGGCAAAGGAAGGTTCAGTTAATTTTCCTCTGTTTTTGCAATACAGCAAAAAAGAGCTCAGAAYAAGTCTGAATGACACACTGCTATTTATGAAAAAAACAGATCATCTGCAAAGCTGTTCTTACTTGCAAAGGTGTCATTCCCAGCTCATGTCCACTTCGTCCCTGTGCGATTTTAGACAAGTCATTTACAAGGCGTTCAAATATATTAGCAGCATTTAAATCACAGTCATAGTTAACATAAATATCCACCACGCACTGGGCATCTTGAAAATAAGAAAAAGAGTATTAAAATTCAATGAAATAGTGTCTTATAAAAGGAAAATACCCAGYTGGAGCAAGCAGTGGGGGTGAATCTAGATATTTTATTCAAGAATATATTTACACACACACACTAAATATGACATGTCTCAAAGAACTTTCTTCAGCTTTCAGAGAAAAAGGTCACCTTTTACAACCATGAAAATACCTGCACAAATTCTAGTTAAAGTCTGAATCACCATCCACTTGTGTTCGAAAGAACTTGAAGATGTCTCCAGAATATTTAGGAATATTTCTTTGAAGAACACCTGAAAAATAAATGAGGTAAAGAATCTGAGGTAAAGTCTAAAGCTCCCTAAGAACTTTTAGRATTATGTTAACTGCGCAGAATAATTTCTATTTAGCAATTTCTTGAATAGTATTCAAGAAATTCTATCTCATATATTGAAATTTAAAGACAGAGTACAACCGTTTACTTCGCAAACAAACATAAGTGGCTATGTCCTAAGGTACATTTGCCTTTGTATCTATCATTTCGGTATTTCAGTTTAGGAAGAAGAGAATCATAAGGATCACAGATAAAAACCTCTTACCTCAATCTGCATTTTTAAGTGAGTCTTAAAATTTGAGAGCAGTGTGAGAAAGATGGCCAGAGAGAGCTCAAATACATCAGGAACAGAAGAGACTCCATTTTTAGATAATGCTACACAAAGATATTGCTTGATTGCATTGATGAACATTTCATGTGTCCTGAAAACTGGACCAGCATTTTGCAATACTGAGAGAAGAAGCTGGAGAGAGACTATCTTAGAACGCAGTTCATGGGATCTAGAAGAAATTCAACATAAAGATTTCCATTGCACTTGTGAATACACATACTTGCATTCAGGCTAAATACTATAGTATTTCTTCCATATTAAGAAAAAATAGTTGCTATTTTTATCCATTTCAAATAGACACTCAGCCTGCAAGTAATGCTGGACCATCTCAATTTGGAGGCGTGCAGGAAGATAATCAGCCTGGATGAGAATAACAAATGCTACCAACTACTGAGCACTAGAATAACSAGTCTAACTGGAACCGGGGGATTCCAGAACCCAAGCAGCTGCATAGCTGTGTCTCCTCTGACTCTAAAGGCTACATGGGGACAATAAGCAATAAATCCAGTTATTACTTGGGATCTGGTGGTCCATCACCAAGTGGTTTCATGGAGAGTTTGCACAGGGACCTGAACACAAGGAAGGCATCCTTCTGAAGAACATGGGAAAATTTGGCAGCAGCTTGGTGTCCAGACACATCTGTTTCCTAGCAAACAAGAAGCACAATATTAAAACCTCAGTACAGCAAAGGAAGAGAGCAACTGCTAAGATTCCACAACTCCTCAGAGAATCAGCTACAGGTTAAAGAGCAATACACTTGCCAAAATTTAAACCAACCTAAACAGGAACACAAGAAATCCCGATCTTTACACAGTGTTGACTGAATCCCCTCCCACCCCAAAGTGGTGGAATACTTTAAAGCAGCTATTTTCAACATGAACTTGATCTGAATTTGCTGCTTCTTTCAAATCTGAGCAGGACTTATATATTAAAAGCCTCCATTTCCTTCCTCCAATAAAATTAGTTAGCATAATAAGAGATTTCTCAGTCTCTATACATAAACATCCAGGGAAGTTATTTACCAAATTATCAGTGGAGGAAACTGATTGTCTGTCATCTGGAATCCCATTTGTTTGTACATTTTCATTACTAGAGCCAGAAAGAGCAATATCTGGAGTCTCTAATACAGGCTGAGCCTTGACTGTTCCTATTACATGTTTTTCTTCAGCCACTGAGGGAGAAAAAGAAAATAAAATTAATCTGTTGAGCTGCCTTAAAAAAAAAGGTGTGATATTTGTTAAGCTTTACCATTGGTGGGGMCAGACGGGCAGCACTAGTAAATCAGAGGGAATTTCTCACCTATCAAAGGAAATACTCCTGTGAGGCCATAAAAGTCTCTTCTTGCTGCCTTAGAAAGCATTCTTTACAGGATGCTTAGTAATGAAAAATGAGTTCTTTGCTTTATCATCACAGGAGTACGTGTCAGGCATTACAAACACATCTATTTTATTTCAGAAGATTTCACTACCTTTCACAGCTGATTTGACAACATCTTCCAAGATGTCTTTAACCATTTCTTTTCCTCCATCAGGTGTTTCCTCTGATGAAACACATAAAAAGATAGCTTTGTTTAGGAAGAAGGAAAGGCTAAGGAGGTAGAAGGATTAAAAAAGGACTTCAGTTATCCCAAAACAATTTTAGCACTTGCAAATATACTTTGATTAATCTCTCTACTTGCCTTCCCTTTTATCAATCTAACAAAATTCAAACTTCAATATAATCTATAWACAAGTTTTTATATATATATATAAATATATAGTGTTGTATATACGCTTTTATTAAAATTCTAGGGCAAACAAAAAAAGTCCTTCTTCAAAGGTAATGTCTAAGCAYGCCTGATACATCTAAGGATAGTCTGTGTACTCCACATAACTAACGTGTAGATGTGAATGTGATTTGGGCCAATAATCTCTACCGCTTCTCTAAATAATACTAAAGAATAATTTCCTGTAGATACACTGTAAGTGAAGACCACAAGCACAATATATTCTTTCTTACCTGATACTGAAGGAAGYTGATGTTGCTCTGACTTCACCTCTCCATTTTCTGTCTGCTCAGGCTCACCATTAGTTAACTCCAGGCTTACAGGAGCAGTGGGTTTGCTCTCCTGATAACTGTGCTTTAAGTGWCCAATCTTTGGAGACCTTGTCACGATTTGAATTGCAGGAGATTGGGATTTCTGATTATTTGTTTTTTCCACTTCCCTGGCTTCTTGTATCTTAAATAAATAAATAAATAAAGTTAACCTGGGGCAGAAAACAAAAGAGGAATAAATGTCTATGATGACYGATGTTCCTTTATGAATTCAAATGCTAACAAGAAAGTGTGAATATATTCACTTAGCCAGTCTGATTAAAAAGATTTGCTTCTTATTTAGCTACTGTGGAAACAAGTTTATCTTAAAAGTATCCCATTATTTATATGTAGCTGCTTGTCAGAGACAACAGCATCAAATCTTGTTATCAGCCATAAGTCTCACACTTTATTTTAAATCTGCCTATAGCGTTCAATATGCTTCACTGCAGGATGTGGCAGATGCTTTTAAAAAACAAATCAATAGGTGCTCATCTACAGTGAGATACATACATAAAAATATTCTGTTCAGTTTTCAAGCTTAAACATTTAAGATAAGCAAAATAACAGCTACATACAGCTTGATTTTCCATTCGTGTAAAAATGACATTTAGCATCTGTGTAAGGGTAGCTTTGGCAGTTGTCTGATTAATGAGATTTTTACTGGCCAGATAGATGTTGTAACAGGTTCTAACAGTCTGCAGAATTGTTCCTTCATGAATCTCAATATACGGAGATGTTACTGCAGTAAGGAGAGCCTGAAAGAGTACACAAAACAGTAAGACTGAAATTAAGCAAGCAGCAAGATTTATCATATAGGTCTTCCACGATAAGCTGTGACTTTATTAGGGAACATATATATAAATTTATTAAAAAAAAAAAAAAAAAACACCAAGAAACTTATACTTCTTTGAAAGCACTATTCCAATCAGAAGATAACAGAAATTTCATAGATTTGTAGTATTCTTTCATGAGCTGTTAAGGAAAATGAATACTTCACATCACACAATACACACTTTCCTTTGAGGGAGGTAGCCTCCAAACRGTGCCTTCAGCTGAAGTTTTGTGGAAATACTATATATTAGCCTCACAGCTGACAGCATCTCATCAGCCTCATGAACACAGACATCACTAATCTACAAGATGAACACTACTACTATCAAGTTGTCCTGTTTTTGCTAAATAATGTTACCTGGCCATGGCTCAGCCCAGACTGAAGGATGAGAGTTAATAAGCTATACATGCTCCATTTCAGAAGGAGAAAATACACTCCACAAACCTATTCACACAGTGTGAAAGCCTCTCTAAATTCAATGAGACATCTAACTGTAGGAGATGGAGAAACTGGGGCCTAAGTAGCACTTCACATTCAAATTTGTTTCAGCTACAAAAATCAGAGTCACTCACAAAACACACAACAACAATGCACACTTAAAATGCACCAAAATACCTTAATTATTTGCAATTGTACTCCTTCATCTGTTTGAGGACCCTGAAAGCAATTGCAAATTGTTTCGACTATTCGGTCAATCAGCCGTTTTCCAGGAGCTCCACTATCTGGAGCATTGCCAGTGATATGTCCATATGCAATGAGTTTCTAGGTAGGAAGAATATTAGTTAGTCATATAATATTAGGTAAAATGCAGGCAAGTACAGCATGAAAAGAGGGATTTAGATTGCCTACTTTATTTGGCCATTTAAAACAAAGACTGAATACCATCAATAATCTGGCTAGCACTTCCTTGGACTACTCATACATATAGACAAAGTGGATTTTAAGAGGTGCACACACTTTTGCCATCCACATGATTTCTCACTACTGCAAACAGACAATTATTTATTACCTGTCTTTGCACCTAACCACAGCGAGGTTCTACCCAAGTAATGCCCAAATCACACAGTACTTTTGCAACTGCCTCCTTACTCATTTCAGTCTGTCCAGGTTTCAGCAGAACACTTACCTGTAAGCAATCCAATGAAGTACTGACAATGCGTGGAGACTTGGACTGGCAGGCCAGCTCGAATGGAAGGAAATACTTATCTGCCTCGATGAAGTTTGCTTTGGGTGGAGCAGCAGTGCCTTCTCTAGGCCAGACAAGAAGAGTTATTTATTTTCCTAATCATAGCTGTCTCCATTTTCAGATTATAAAAATACACACGTAGCAGCATACACATTTAATGCAAACTCCTTTTAGGCATACTTCTAAAAGACAGTTGTTCTTCCTTCAAAATCATACAAGAACAGCTCTACATTTTCCTATATTGCTCTATATTTTCTTCCCTCACTACAGTCCAGCATCGCACTGCCTGAAATACAGAACTCCTATGCACCCTAAAGATAAGCTTACCTAAAATAGCCTTGTGTGAACAATATTAAACAGAGACACAGAATCTGGGACTCTAAATCATAACACAGTGCTACAAAGTTTTCTTAAAAGAAGTGGATTTTTACATAATCTTTTGACTTCTTGATCTAGGTAGTTAAGAGTATTAACAAACTTGCTGCTCTTCATGATTTCCAGATATATCAGCTAAATAAAGCCCAGCACAAGTAGAAAGTCAGTCTCTTGTAGGAGCTTTGTGATCCTCCATAAGGAAATGCAGTGGCAGCTACGGCCCAGGTGCCCAGAGCCACAAGCAGTGGGTGCTTCAGACACATGGGTCATGTCCCTTGGTTTGGCAGCGAAGGTGTCCCTGTATCCCACCGGCTCCCTGCCATAACTTGCACCCTCTCACATTGCCACTAGCACACTAGTGAACTTGCCATCGTGTGGTAGAGTTGACAGCAATTAGTAACTTACCTTTGCTTTTCCAGCTCAGTTTTTATTTCATCTGGAAGAAAGAAAATAATTGAAGATATTGACATCCAGCATAACACAAACGTGAAAAATACAACAAAGCAGAGCTGTTTCTAACCAAAAGCTTTGCACTGTATATGTGCCATTTTCCTGGAACATCTTTAACTTCCTAAATCAGAGATTGAACATAACTCTCCTATTTGCTGAAAGGCCCATCAACTTCTACATGTTCTATTTTTTTCCCRAATATTCTTAACAAAAAGGTACCTTTAGAAATATAGCTTTCATTCAAGAGAAAGTTCACAAGAGGAAGGTCTAGTTTGAAGAAGTCTTTAAGCAAGTACACAAACCACCTAATTCAAAGCACCAGGTACTGCTGTTGCAGCAGCCTGCTCAGGGTAAACTCCACAGCATGACATCAGCTGAATAAACAAACTCCCACTCKGCGATCTGGCATCTCAAACGCGCACCGTCATCTTGCCAGGAGGGCTTTTCTCTTCCCACTGCTTTTGAAAGTTTCACGTTGGGAGAGGTTTTCAGAATTCAATAAACTTGCATGTTGGTGGTTTCTATTGCACACAGCGACACGCAGAGACCCTCGCAGGGCTGCCGGCGGATGCGCCCACGGAGCAACGYGCCCCGCGGCGGGAAGACGGACAACAGGGCACCCCTAGGCATTGAGCGGTGTGACAAGCACCAGGGAACACTATCGCTCCGCATGCAACCAAAGCGGCAGCAAAACTCAGAGCGCCACAGACCCGCAGCACGTCATGGCTCTGTTCAAAAGCCCCCTGTTTCCAACTCAGTCATAAGAACAGAGCAAGCCCAAAACAACCTCTTCATTATTGCTGTCACAGAAAGCTACACGTCAGCCCCTTCATGCCTGTCCCTTGCCACTTCCCAGCTCACGAGCTGCACTGACCCCAGCACAGATGCCAGTCTGTGYGTCTGGGTGCTCCCTGCTCCCCATCCTTATGGCATCTGCAGCAGAAACTACACAGAAAATACAACCAGCAGCAGCAACTRTCTTGGTGCTGAGGAGCAGAGGCTCAAACCCCCCAGGCCTCGGGCTGCGCAGGACCCATCAGCCCAGCAACTACAGTGCTGCTCACATCCAGATTCTTTGGATTTCAATATTGCATGGCCAGCTAGAGCCAAAACAAACAAACAGAGAAACTACCAGTGTACTAATTTCTTGCAAGGACCATTTAGAAATTTTCTTTATCAAATGTACAGAGGAGTTGGAGCAGTACTGGGAAACCTGAGCTACACAGCAGCTTCACATGGCAATCTCCTACCTCAGGAGACCCAAACTCTGCATCAAGAGAAGACCGACTGATGCCCAGGTGCAAACACACATTTCCACTTACTTCTGTTGGGCATAAACACCAAGTGCACCAATTAAGCACCCAGAATTAGCAGCTTTTCCAGGAGAAACCAAACCCCTGAGGAGAACACTGTGCTACAGAAGCCAGCCAGGACTTGGGAAACACTGCAGGGAAATTCTTGAGTGCTCCATCTCCTCGCACGCAACCCTCAACGGCCTCGGGCAGGACACAGGGGCCCYCTCGACCCAACCAGAACAGCAGGATGGCCAATATTACAACCGAATTTCCTTAACGTCTCAAAACGACTACATGGAGCAGTTCCTCACATAACAGGTTTACAAAATGAGGCCGTTTTCACTTCCCAGTCTTACACAAGCCAGCTGCAAGGCAGTGAGCAACAGCACAGAACCACAGCCTGTGCTGGCAGCACGGAGCTACAGTCAGTTTAGCAGYTTGGGTTCAGGTACAAGCCTAGCTTTGTGATAAGCTGCTTTTTTAGCGCTTAGCTGATCAGGAGARTCAACAGACTAGAGGCCACAGACTGATTTTGATGGCTGGTTAAGAAATAATCAGGAATTTGGGGGCCAAAATAGGGCAAATCTTAACATAGAACCACATCTTGAATCATTGTCTTCCTCATTCCTGCAGCCAGGTGGTTTAATTGATGAATGTGCTGCTGAGAAGTTCAGTTAAGCAAAATTTTAATTCAAATTGTTTTATTTAATAATTTTCCCACCATCAAGAGCACATTATGATCCACAGAGCTAGTGAATACAATGAATACTGAAGCATCTGATTTATTCTGCTGTGTTATAATGTTAATAGAATGGGGCATTGCTATTGCATATGRGACCTGGTTTAAAACGGAGCTTTCTGGACACTCTTTTACAGTTGAAAATGCTTAGTGTTGCCTCTGGGACTGGGCAAATGAAGTCATCTTTTAGCTACAGTCACTACTCCAAGAGCTGCAGGATGCCAGGCTGCTCAGCAATAATATARTCATTGCTGATATTTCAGACATCCTGCAGAACCAGCCATTATAGCACCTTAAATCACTGCAGGAATGCACCATCCTCTGCACTAGACCAACTATGCCCAAGTTACAGTCAGGTGGTTGTCCTTGCAATAGATCATTTGTGTAGTTTGGAAGAAAAAAAACTGTTTTGACGTTGCTTTGGTCAAGCAAGGCCAGACCTTTGGAATTCTCATGGGTGTTTCTAAAGCACAGGAAACAGAAAGGTACTAATAGTGTTTGCCCCCACACCTGTCCAGCCACCACATGTCCCGAGCTGCAGATGCACCTAATTTTCATGCTCTCTCAACAGAAACTGAAACTTGTCTAGTATCGACTGGTCTGRTGCCCCTGTTATCCAAAGACATTTGCAATAAAACAGAGTAGTTTAAAAAAAAAGAAAAAAAAAAGTTTTAGATGCAAACTTGATGAAGATTTTAGCCATAAGCAGACATAGTCAGACCTGTCTCATGTTCACACCTATTGTAATGATACCTCTTCCAACAGTTGCAGTAGATACTGCATAAAAAAAATAGATCTCTATATTACAACAGCAAAAACTTCACTCAGATGCGCTCTGAAATTTTAATAAAAATAAAATCCAACAAAAGCCTGACCAAATTCCCTATAACTTATTATATGAAGCGTTTTCCAAAGCAGTATAAAAAGCTCTGCATCACAGTAGTATTTTAGCAAATAACATTGGCAGAAAGGAATGAACACCAGGACAAAACCAAGTCACGAGCATGCCTCTACCACTGATTGCATCAAAACAGTTTGGAAATCTCATCTGAAGTGCTCTTTTGGTAGTCTGACCACCAAAAGTAAACGAAACAGGTGTTGCCTAATGTAAGTCCCCCTTGCCATGTCCCAAGCAGACAGGAGCAGAAACAAACCTACTGCCGCTGTCACTCCTCTGCTCCAGGCACAGGAATAAGGAAGGTGGCTCAGCCCAAGGCCCCTCCGCAGCTGGAGAACGTGGGTGGGCTGCAGGGGCCCCAGCACAACGTGGGCCCCGGGGACCCCGCACAGCGCCGGCCCCGACTGCCGCTGCCAGGGACAGCGGGCACAGGCAGAGACGGCATCGGCTGCCGCGGGCTGCACGCTCTGCACGGGCCCCCATGGCCCCTCGTTCCTCAGAGGCGAGCGCGCGCTGCAAGGGCTGCTCACTCTGCCTGGCCCCCCACAGCCCCTCGTTCCTCGGAGGTGAGCAYAGGCTGTGAGGGCTGCACACTCTGCACAGCCCCCCACGGCCCCTCGTTCCTCGGAGGTGAGCACAGGCTGTGAGGGCTGCACACTCTGCACAGCCCCCCACGGCCCCTCGTTCCTCGGAGGTGAGCACAGGCTGTGAGGGCTGCACACTCTGCACAGCCCCSCACGGCCCCTCGTTCCTCGGAGGTGAGCACAGGCTGCACGCTCTGCACACCCAAAGCACACGCTGCTGCGCATGAACTGAACCCGTCGGGTTTGCTTGTACTTAACACTATATTCTCATATACGATACTGTGCACTAAAACAAAGGACTACACATTGCCTGCCTGCCTTAGGTGCATCCTACGTTAAGGGCCAGGTCGCTGTCAGCAGGCACAGGTCGGTYCGGGCACGGAAGGCAGCCCAGCGCCGGTGTAAGGACACCGGCAGCATCTGTGTGTCCATAGCGTCCCAGGGCAGGGAGCTCCCTGCCAGTGCAAACACCCGGGAAGTGGCACGAGCGCCTCCCCCCACACTGCCTAATTCCCAGCCACCTTAACCGTACTCAACAGAGTCATTTCCATTTATTGATTCTACTGAGCTAACCAAACAAAGCCTCAGTAGGAGCTGCTACAGTGGAGGTCCTGCTAGCACCAGCATTCTCAAAACATGCTAGTTAAGAGGCTTAACTAGCCCAAGAAAAAAACAGGTGTTTCCAGACGTGTCATTTATATGAAGAAGTTTCTTAAGCGGTCATACAGATTCCCAGACTGAAGGCAAGGCTTAAAAGATGTTTTTGTTAATTAACAGGTTAACTAAACAAATTACATTGTTTACAAAGCTCACAAATAGATATACTTGGAGGTCCCTAGGCGAAGGAGATGATACAGCCAGGCTGGCTGCACACTAAGTCATTAAAAACTCCTAGTAGGAGAAGAGCAAACAGTCTGTGTGAGAGCGAGGTGCATGGTTAGCATCACACCAACATGAACTGCAGACACTGTCTGTGCTCTTCATGGTGGGGACTGCATCAGTGCATTTAATAAGAACCACATGCATCTAGAGCTTCACATAAATGGTTATTAATCATCTATTCATACACAATATGTTGTCTGTCTGTTGAAAATTGGCTTCCCTAAAAAAAAAAAAAAAAAAAAAAAAATCACAGTTTGCTATAACAGGGCAGAACAGCTTCTGTGCTGAAAAACCTCATTGCTCTCAGTCTCTCCTGGGATTTACTGGTACTGAGAATCCAGGATACAACTATTACACCTACCGATGAAGCAAGAGACTGAATGAAGGAATCCATTCAAGCTCTGCTTACTCAACATTAACACTGAATATTTCCAAGGAGGGAGGAGAGGGGGAAGAGCAGAAACGCACAGAAACTGGTTTTGTTACCAAACCCCTCTCCAGCAACAGATACCTAACATTGCTCTGGGCCACCAGTGTGAGCTAACAAGCCCTGCACAGTGCCGGGAATGAATAACCGGTGCTTTTCTTTCACCCCTCCAAGTCCTATCTGAGCCTATGATACTCTTCATTTCTACTAAGTAACAAAGCTATTTYGCAGTCCAAAAGAGCAGACTACTGGTGTGGTAACAGCTATATTATTGAGGCAGGGAGCAGAAGAGCATAAGAATCATTTAATATGAGAATCAAATACCACCTTTATTCTCTCCTGAGTGAGAATGACATTAATTTTCAGCAGTAACTCATGTAAGTTGTCTCAGTGTTTGACTAACATTTTCTTTAACATGTGTTACTTATTTAAAACAAGAACACTGTTCTCACAATTAAAAATATATTCATCAGTGTCACAGGAAATAAGTTCAGTTTTGATCACTGAATACTTCTACAGCTAAAGTTTTCCCGATACCACTGAGTCGTCATTACTCCAGGTGAATACTTTGGCACAAAATGAAGCAAAGAATGCAGCCAAACAATAATTTTAAGGTATGCGTAATTAACGCTGCTGCRGTAATACTACTGCAGGAAACAGAAACAGCTGCAGGTTTGTTTGGCTTGGCTGTCTGTAAAATACACCAGTTCCTCTGTATTTAAAATAAGGGCACACCACAGCCTTCCGCCACATAGCCAGACACACCACGCACAGGTTAGTGCCTCGAGGCTCCATTACAGAGACCACTGCATAAACACATCAGTACAGCGAACCCCAGGTACATAAAATTAACTTTACATTTCTCCCAAAGTGACCGAATTTTACTCACAGTTCATTATAATAGCTTAACTGGACTTTATTATTTACTAAAAACTCCGAAGCCTCTTTCCTGCACACCAATGTGTGCAGATGAAATCTGGCCTGAATTGCTCACACCACAAGAACGGTTCTTCCCATGTTCCTTGCCCTATCTACTACAGCAGAGGCCTGATTTCATTAAAAACTGTTAGCTAGTTTTTAATGGGTCAGGAAGTCTCAGTCTTACTTAACCCAAAGTATAGTATTAACTCAGGTAAACTTGAGTTAAACAAAACTGTCTTCAGTTGCACAGAAAAGATCTCGACCTTCACAAAATAAGGGTGATTTGAAAGTCACAGTGCAGCTAAAAGGGAGGGCGCTCAGGCCAACTGCTCGAAATGATGCAACCACCTTCACCACATCTAACCGACCTCCTGTGGCACGGGAGCCWGGGCCCTAACTGAGCGGGGCACTTGGGCAATGATAGGTTATCTCTTCGCGCTGACCTCGGCTTTAGTTCGGCAAACAACACGGTTATTTTTGTCAAATAAGCTTAGTTAAAAAAAAATAAATAAAATCATTTCTACCATCAGCAAAGAATCACAAGTTTATTGTGCCTTAAAACACATAGATATAAAACAGGCACGACCCAAAAAGCGCCAATGGGGGGTTATTGTACGAGGATCTCCCAAATCCAGATGTTATGTTAGTTAAGTGGGAAGACGCGCACTAGTAGCCTTCCAAGAGGCTCCCCTTCTCACCCTCGGGATTTCACAGAGCAGGAAAACAGGCTCCCTTTCCTGTCAGCGCTGGGGAGGTTTCCTGCTTCTCCTCTTCCTCGGGGCGAGGCAGGGGGAGAAGGGGCGAGASGGGGAGAAGGAAGCGCCAGAACTGCCTGGCGCACCCGTACAACGCCACGGCCCGGGCCGCCAGCTCCWGCAAGGACTGAACAGGGAGGGCGCCGCGCTCGCGGGCCCCGCGCACTCACCCAGCGCCACCTGGCAGGCCCTGCGCAGCTGCCCGTGCGGCGGCCGCTTCGCCTCCTTCTCGGCCAGGATCTTCTCGAGCGCCCGCGACACGAACATGCTCTTGGTGCGCGTGTCCTGCTCGCGGGCCGGGGGCTGCATGGCGGCGGGGAGGGCGCCGCGCTCGGGGCCGCCGCTCACAGGCCCGGCCCGCGCCGCGGCCCCGTGACGCGCAGGAGACGCCGCTCCCTCAGCGGCGGCGCCCGCGACACGGCGCCGCCATGTTGGCGCCGTCACGTGACACGGGCATTTCCCCCTCCCCCGCCCGCCCGCGCCGCGTGACCTCTGACCCCCGCGGAGGCGCCAACGTGGGGTGCCGCTGAGGCGGCCGCTGCGCGACAGGCGCGACAGGCGCGACAGCCGCCAGCCCGGCCGTGTCGCGCCGRCAAATGAGGCGCTGCCCCGCTGTAATGTAAAATCCTGAGGAGGAAACGGGGCAGCCGGGGCTGGGGTAGCGGTGTCTGTATCCATAAGAAAGAATTACTCTTCCACTACAATTATTTACATTGATTAAAGTACCACAGGGGAGGACACATTAATAAAATCATTTTCTTGTTATAACACTTCTGTTGTGTCTCAACTCTTCCACTGTCGCTACTAGCTTTCCCAGAAYGAGCCTGACAGGGAGTCAGTGAGAAACTGTTCGCTTGAGGGACGTCATCGATGTTGCGTGTCAGAGATGAACCAGGAATTGCAGAGAAATCCAGGCGTCCTTCTGAACCCGCGCCCGGTCGCTGCACCTCCCCGTTATCTTTCTTTTGCTCAGCAGGAAGGTCTGCGCCCAGGACACGTTCTGGACTCTTTGCCCTTAGGTGCCATGGTGCACGGAGGTGGCCCTGGAGGTTGGGCTTCCCCCGGACTCCCTTCTCCAGCACACTGCAGCCATTCCCGCCACACTCGGTCACTCCACAGTGCGCTTAACCAGCTCAGGAAAACGCTGCCTAACTGACAGMGATGACAGGGGCACATTAGATTGTCTGGATTGACGCTTTATTTCCTTTTTTTTTTTTTTTTTTCAATCGGCAAGACTTGTGCTCTTACCCTTTAAAATGACATTAGTGGATTTTGAATGCCATGTTGTCAAGATTTGCAAGATTTTTTCTTTAAAAAAAAAAGCACTAAAAAAGCGCTGAGTCCAGACATCTGTGAAAGCATTAGTTTAGCGTTATTTCACCGGAAAAATAGGCAGTGCTATGTGATCACCTCTGCTGTCTGGAGGTTATGCGGACACACAGAGAGCTGAGGACTCCAATTCCAATGAAAAATACGAGTTACAAGAAGGGGAAATCAAACATTACTAACAAGGAAGGATAAAGAGTGGAGGAAATATCTCCATAAAAAATGTTTAAAGGTTTGTTACTGTCTGAAGACTTTCKATTTTCCTTGGAGGTCAACAGTTCAAGTATGGTTGTGCTGTGTGATCTCATAGTTCATCATAAGATCACAGTTTATCAGGGTGTAACTCACTGCACAGTACCTGAAACCACCTAACACAGGCTGCTGCTTCTGCTCTGAACCATGTAGAAAAACTCATTTTGGAATGCTGAAAAACTCTTTTTTCCTGGTGTCTTCCCTGCTACTAAAAATAGCATGCTGCTATTTTCAAATAAAAACAGCCATTTAATCATTTTCTATATTTGCTATTTATATTAGCTGCAAATTCTTTACATGGTCAGTTATATTGTAAGGGATATCCCGTTCCAGGAGATATTTTATAATATGCTTCAGGTTAGTAAACACGATTTTAGACCCTCGTGGTACGTCTTTGTACATMTAGAGTCATTGAAATAGGTGATTTTCAAGTAGATCAATTTGGTATCAAACTAGTTTGCATGCCAGATGGTTGAATTCATTGGCATTAAAGACTGAAATAAAGACGATAGGATGGGGTTTATCTGAGCTTTTCAAAACACTGTTCCCAAAAGGCAAAGCCTGAGGAATAGGCTGCCCAAGTTGGTGCTGATTCAGTGCGGCTCTGGAGGGAATTAGGAAGGTGCTGGCTGTGCATCTCATGACTCAGCTGCCTCCTCTCATTCCTACCGCAGCACCGCTGCAGCTCTGCTGAACCACAGCCTTTCATAGTCTCTCCACAGGGTCCCTCACTCAACAGCTCACAGACCAGGCTCCATCTAATTTAATGTGCTCCATTCTGAGGAGCAAGAAATTCAGGATAAACCTAAGAGCCTCATTACTTACAAAAAAAAAAAAGGACAATTTCTTTTTTTTCTTCACTAGTTTAGCACATCCAAAAAAAAAGAAAAGGTCTAATATGTCTCCCTAACAATTTCTGTCTATGAAGAAGGGACAGATGGAGAAATAACACACAAAAAGGAGTGAACAGAATCACCTGTCACAGAGTCGAGTACTATCATTGAGAGCCTAAAAGTTAAAGAAAAAACTGACTGTGCTTGGACTCAAGAGTCGGTTCCTTTCCGTGCTGAAATCTGTAGTCTCAGAATARGTACGAATGTGCCATGGAGAACATGGTGGCTCGGCCTTAGGGCCAAGTCAGAAGGGAAGATCTGGCTGATGCAAGTTCACCCCTCCTCATACTCGGGTGGAAAGGTCTAGCTGGGAATGTGATGGACAATGTCACTCATTTTTTGCTCTGAGTGGTATTGATAAGGCAAATAAGCCCTGTCTCTTGAAAGGCTATTCATTCAGCCACAACAAGATAAAATTTGGGATTATTAGTATAGACAGAGGAGCAGAGCAGTCAAGTAGTAAGGGATGTTTATTCAGAAAATGGGAAGGCGGCATTAATTCTTATTTATAGCTAAGGAATGATCTGCTTGTTTCCATTCTTACAGAAGGGGCCCTTTGTACTCAGAAGTTTCCAGAGAACTGCATGCTTTACTGCTGCAGATAATGTGTAGACAAGTCCTTGCAGACTCTGCTAGCATCTTGGAGGGCCTCACGTCTCCTTCCCCTGTTATTGTGGGATTTGAGGCAAAGGAAACCAGACTCCTGGCTCAGAGTGATGAGGTAGATGTGCACATTGCCACAGCTGACCCCAGAGTTGTTTCAGACAGGATCATTGAGCCCGCCCTGAGAAATGCATTATGCGAGATGCAGTGTCAGGGCAGTGTGGGCACATCCCTGATCTAACACCAGCTCCTGAAGAAGTTGTCCATGGAAGAGCCTCCTCTCTTCCCTCATCAACAGAGAGTCCCATGCAGAGGCAGATGATTCTAATTGCTAGCTCCTTTTTACAAAAATGTACTTTTTCCTCTTGATTACGCTTAACACCTGCTGTTGGTTTCAGTATAACCAGGCTATAAACAGATATTTAGCTATTCAGTTAAGCTAACCTGTCTCCTTGCTATTATCTATGCCCCCACTACCAGGAGATCTGGAATACAGAGCAAATCTTTGTTTCCCCTCTCAAAATGCTGGTGGTCTTTACCTTTGTGCATTCTTGTGGTGTATTTTACTGTGTGCTGCAGCTTTTGGTCAGGATGAGAGGCAGGTTAGAGCCCAGGTAAGGTTAGCAGGCAGCGATGACACCAGTCAACATACAAATCCAGGGGGAAAAGAGGGTGGAATGCCTTGCTGATGGCATCCGTCCTATTACACAAGGCAGGAGCTGGAAGAGAGTCATGATCTTCCTCACATGTGCAGCCCACTCAGCAACATCCCAATATTCCCAAATCAAGAAATTTTAGAGGATGGCACGGGAAGTAATACCTGGGGGAAATCAACACAAAAGAAAACAAAACATAGTGTTATARCATAGCACCAAAAACTAGAAAAATAAAATCTACTACAATGTTTTCTGTGAGTCACTCTAAGATGCAGAGGGGCCTTGGGAATGATAAAGGAAAATATGTGTATAGAAGCCCATAAAAACTTAAAGAAAGGCTTGTGCCAGGTAGCTTTTAGCTTGTAGGTTGGTCCTCTGAGCTTGAGGACTTGCTCAGAGCATCTCTGTTTAATGCCACTAGTCAGAGGCTTTTATCAGAAACTCAAAATATACTTTGATTACAATAACCAGAGGTGCTGCCGCATGTTGAGCTCACTCCAAGTGTAAAGATACCATTTCTTGACTATCAATTGGCAGTAAATGGTGCTGACAGCCATGACTTCACGCAAGGAGGGAAAGGTTAATGTGAGAAGCAGTGAACGTCAGGACAGTTTATTTCCAGGCCAGCAGCATTAAATTGATATCTTGGAGTTCAAATTTCTGCAGTGGGGTTTAGCATATCACACCAATTGATTTCTCTTGACTGAAACAATCAGCTATAATTATCAAATGTAAAGAAAACTTTTAGTCATATTGGAACTGCCTGTCCTATGATGTTATACATTTGATAGCAATATATCCAACTTTTTTTTTTTTCCCCAGAAAAATAGTTAACTGCCTGACAACTGATGGGATGCTCCATTGCCTAAGACTGATTTTTATGAAAATTCACAGCTGAGAAATGCACCAGTGCAAGCTCATTCTCATGGCACTTCCTAAAGACCTTTTTTTTTCATTTTTGTCTCATTTACACTCAGGGCAAATGCACAGGGCTGTAGCCCAATCAGACTTTCCCGTCCATGCACAGTTTTACTCAAACTTGTTGAGTAAAGTGTTACATTGATATTGTTGAAGGTGTGTTATATTGATTTCATTTTGGATGTGCTCATTTGTCTAGTCTGTACAAATAGCTAAACAACAGCTACAAATAGCTCTTGTTTAAACATATTTCCACTCGAGGGCGCCAAAAGCCTAGCTCCAAAAGGCAGATGCACCTCCTGCCTTTGCAAGAAGTGCTGCTTGGAGGTGCAGCACAAGAAAGGAATCACATCGCCTGATCACTAAAGTGCAAATAATGGCTTTTAGTCGCACGCATCACCGTGCAACACAAGATGTTGTCTGCTAGAGCRGGGAAGAGGCTGCTGTCAGCCTTGGGCCAGGAGATACCCGGCAGCTCCGTGTCGCATCTGCTTCTCTGGCAACAACTGCTCTCACGTTGAGCAGACAGACACCTGCCACAGCAGAYCATTACATGAAACAGACCCTGAAGATTTGGGTTTTATTTGTCAGCACCAGCTGTGCTGCCAGACCCTCCCAGCCTGTGGATGTCTCAGTTCATACCTACTGCTCAGTTCCTGCC